GCCAGGGCTTCAATTGCACAGGAAGGTGCCCCTGACCCACTGGCAAGGCCTCCAGTCAAGGGATGTCTGTCTATAGCGCCACGGAACGGGCGGACCAAGGACTTCCTATACTGCAATGAGTCGAAATGCGCCGATTCGGACTAGGGCTCCAGTTCCGACTATAGGATACTATAGGACTTGCTATACTGGCCCTAGAGACTTCGGACTTCATATGTTAACATAAATGATCGTCCCGGATGGGCTCCAGCCGTACCTCCTCAGAAGGAATCTGGACCCTCTGAGACCCCAAACGCCTTCTGAGAAAGTACTTGGAGCCCGAGGATGTATGATGTTGTACCGAAATGCGAAGACAAACGACGTGGTTACCACTGGGCACCCATAGATCTCCAAAAGCTTCGGTCGTACCCACACTCCGTTGTGTTGAACATCAACATGAACATAAATGATGCACTGCTCTCGCCTCCTGCATGAAATCAGGCCCTGACAAGTGGACACCAGAATCCACCAGTAACTTGCTGGCGTTGCTTTCCAATGAACTCAAGGCTTTTCGCTGCTCGTCGCAAGCTGGACCCTGCAGTGCTGCCATGGTGTCCAAGTCCCGCAGCGCCGTGGCCAATAAACATCGGGCTGTGGCATCCTGCTCAGCTTTCTTCCCATAAGGTGATGAACGTTGTAGATCCTCGGAGTGAACAAGCATGAAGACCGGAGCACGAAGAAAACCCACCCCGGGAAACCACCAGGTCTGCCGGGAAGTGGTTCTTTCCATTAGTCACTATAGTCAGTATACAGTCACCAGTCCTTGTGTTTTCCTTTCGTTCTCGATTTCCACCCTATAGAGTCTTCCTTCTAGCGGGCAGCACCATGAGATGCGCGGACTCCCGTGTCCTCCGCATCCTCCGCATCCTCCGACCCAAGGGTCCAGTGGACGATTTGGGTTCGTCCGGAATTCATGGGTTTCCACCTACAGGCTCCGAACCTGGAAGGCAAAGACGCTTCTTGAGACGATCGTCTTTCGGGCGAACGCTGATTTTCTTCTTTCGGGTGAACGTTTGTGGGTTTAGGAATTTATATACAGTATATAATCATGTTTCACTGGCGAACGCTGCCAATGGCAAAATGATGCAGGATGTTGATCTTACATCATGTTGATTTTCCAACATGAAAGTATGCACTTTCAACCGGATGATTCAGGTGACCGCACTTCCTATCAAAATGACTCAACATCAGGATCCTGACCCCGGCCAAAAAAGGGCACGCCCCAAGCTAATCCTGCTTCCACACCTGAATTCAGCAGACAAGGCCACCCAGATCCACCGCTCCCCCCCAAAAAAGGCACAGACAGCGCTAGCGCTGCACACCGAGAGGCTGGCAGCTTGGCAAAGATCTTCTCCATCCCCTCAAGCCATGCAGCGATGCCCTCGCTCTGCAGCTGTCGCATGAGCTCCACGAAGTGTGCCGCGCCCGCGCGGTGACGCGCCAAGGCTGAGGAGCTGCACCAAGAGAGGTGTGGCCTTGGCAGGTGAGGAACTGTGTCTGGCAGATTTCGGAATGCTACAGGGGGCTTTTGTTCTGGTGTTCGGCTCACACAAGACGGCCGTGGCTGGACACGAGTCCGCAAGTCGCACTATTCTGGTGTTCGACATGTTTTCCTGGTTGGATCGGGATCCGGATTTGGTTCAAACACCGTGGCCAGGAATCGTGGAGTCATGGGTTGGTCATGTGTGTCATGTCCAGAGCTGTCCAAAGTATATCAAAGTATCTCTTCACAGGGATCCACATGGGCCCTCCATGCTTTAGAGGCCAAAAGCGGATGGCAGAAAGAACCAAATCCATCCAAATCCACTATATAAAACCGAGTGGCTTCCTGGCAGGGCACCACGTGACTTCCAACCATCTCTCCTTCAACTTGGCATGCCAATTGAGGCCATGCTGACCATCTGGCCCAGCCAATCCATCTCCCGCCTCATCCGGATGAAAGCGTTGCGCCCAATCGCGGCCCCGCAGCACTTGGAACTGCACCGACGCTTCGCGCTGGGTCTGAGACGTCTGGGTCTCCATGTGCACCGCGCCGCGGAAGACGCCTGCGCCGCAGTGCCAGAGCTCGGTGAAGCCTGTCCAATCATCCCAAGAGCCCACGAGAAAGAAAGGACCAGTCCTCGATCGGAACCGGGTTTGGCGTCCAAAAGGCGGCCTCTTTCTTGTGGACAAGTCGCTATATGACTCATATATGTCTATAGTATAGTTAATTCTTTGTGAATTGAGGTCGTAAAATCTGTTCTTCATCTACCTTGCCCTCTATGAATAGCAGTGACCCTCATGCGCGTCTTTAAACTGACTGACCTGTGATATCCTGTCATGACCTTGGGGCCGCCCTTTTCGGAGAGTAGAGGTGCGCGTCCTTGATCCAGGGATCCACCTGTTTGCACTTCTTCATATTCACAAGCCACCCCCTATGAAGGGCGGTGAATCATGCCACCCACTGCACACCTGCCCGAAGCAACAAGGTTCTTCCATGGGTCTATCTATCCAGATCCCCAAAGTATGCTGCAAAGTGTAATGTACCAAGTAGACCCGCGTAGGACCAATGCTGGTGAGATTCCACATTGCAGGCCTTGAGCCAAACAAACAACTCACCTGAAACATTCTTGAACCAACCGCAACTTTCAACTGAACTCTCACCTCAAGAGAAGGACCTCAAGAGAAGGTCGTCCTCTAAAACAGTGCTTACTGTAATCAATCATAGCGGAATATGACACCAATCATTCAAAAGAAACAAATGCTGGGCTGTAAACTGCAGCCAAGGCGTCAGTATCTCCTTCTTCTTTCTGCTGCGAGCGGCCCCTGCCTTGGCGGCCAACTCCAGGCCTTTCACGTCCAGTAGCTTCCAGCTGACCCGGCGCGCAGTGGAATCCCACAGAATCTCCAGCTGCATACATTCAGCTGGCAAGGCAGTGATCCTGAGAGGCAGGGAGCTGCAAGGCCGACACTAAAGCCGCCAACGCCTGTCATTCAGAAGCTGTCAGACTCAGAATGTGGCAAGCCATAGGAAGCAACTTAGAAGTGACCATTTCAGGTGCTGGTCCGATCCAGGAAACATCTTTCACAATGGAGTGTTGGACATCCGGGACCACGAGGTTCCCCGGATGCCTAAAAATGCTGAAACCATGGTGAAACCAATTATGGTACATGTCCATCGATCGATGTGATTGACACATGGGATTGTTGGCCTTTCTCTCAACCCCCCCCAGGAATAAATAATAACCTATTCTTACTACCCTGCACATCGTTTCCTGAAAATAATCCAACATTGATTGACATATTGTACCTTTATGTACCTTTCAATCAGGTCACTCTCCTGGAGTTTCAGGTCAGTCTCTGGAAGTTTCTCCCGTGCACATTGCCAGGCCCCTGCACCAGCGCGGAGCCGCCAGCGGCGTGGGCTTGTGACGGATAGAATCGCTTGGACCAGTCCTTGGCACGATGAGTCACCCGGGAAACACCGGGGCATCCGAAGGCATCCGTTTCAGGGACTCGTTCCTTGAAATAGCCCGTGGCCACGTATTCCCCGTACGCCAGGTATTCCCCAATCACTCGGGACAATGGCGGCTTTGTTCAGTCTGGTCTGGTGGGGGGAGGCTTGGTAACAGTCTTTCAAGGCTCCCGATCTTGTAGGATTTGGAACTCCTCCACCGATGGCGGCCTTCTCACGGGCACGGTGGCCACCACGCTGGTGGGCGTCAGAGGTGTCACAGGGCGAAGCTCTGTGAAATGGCGCCAGCCATCCCACGAACCCACCAAGCAGAAGTGGCTCACCATGCCACGTGGCGCATCGAACCAGGCGTAAGAAGTTTGAAAGGATTGATTTAAATTTATATTATCAAGATTGCCGCGAAGGTTTGAGGGATGGATTTGCTGCGTCGGTTTGGCATGAAAAACCCGAGGCTGCGATGGGTGTTGGCATTCCCATGAGATGGAAATTGGGAAGTTGGTGTAGCTGGGCTGCTAGACACACCAGGTTTCCAAAGAAAAAAGCCTCAGCTCTTGTTGACCCGTAGGCCGTGGAGTGTGTTGGCATGCAGAAGATATGCGGGAACCCCGACAATCAATCCTTGTTTTCGAGCGAAACCATGTGAAACCTGTCCGGCCAGAACATGACAGTAGGGCTATGATGCAAATACCCTGAATGTCTGTCGTTTGCCTGTGCACATTGAAAAAGCAAGCTGGCTGCGTGCGGCAAGCAGTATAGGTGGTGAGGTGTTGCTTATGAAGTCGCCTACTGCACCCCTCTAGATGTATCTCAAATCCATTCATAATTCCGTCTGACGCACTTGGAATGCAAGGTTCATGCAGGGTTTTCTTCGACCCTGTGATTGCAGAAGGGATTAAACACATGGATTCACCAACCGTGGACAATCCCATGTTGGTAGAGGATTTCGTGGTCTTTCCAGGGGGCATTCCATCCACCAAGACCGCATGGGACTCAGAATGTGTCACAGAAACGGAACTGCATCAATCAGGCAGTCGCTTGTTTATCCGGCTTAGCCGCATGTATGATCCTCTCTTAGCAACTGATGGGAAAATACATGAAAATATATACGTGACCGAATTAGACAAGAAATGGACTCTCTAAACATGAGTTAGCTGCCCTACCCTCGCTGTTGCCGATGTTTTACGGCTGCGTCGAGGACTGGAGTGACTGGAGCATGCCTCAAAATCCATCGGTGCCTACATCGGTGCCTGAACATGTTGTTGAGCATGAACCTACATCAAGTGAGGCCAAACATTCCGTCCACCGTACCTGGCTTTTCCATGCTTGTCCATGCTTTTCCCCAGTCCAACTGGTGGCTTTGGCGGGCTTTGGTATGGTGGCATTCTACTCGCCCACTGAATGTTTTCACGTCCTCAGCCCATTGATTTCACTTCATGTCAGAAAACTCGGCATGTCAGCCTACTGCGATCAATATTACTATATAGGCACGTGTGCAACGTCCATGCATCGCCTTGAGTACTTCGTCACCATTCTCATCCAAAGCGGTACGTACTCGTAAGCCTTTCTGAGCAGCTTGCGCATGCACCTAGGCCAAAGGAGCCATTGCTCTGAGACATGTGCATGGCTTGGTTTCAAAATCTTTCACAACAGCTGCAAACCTATTGGGACAACAATCCTCTAAGTGCGTTTGCTTATGACTTCCTGCTCTTGGGCAAGGCCCACAAAATCACTCAAGGAGATTTAACCAAAAAACTCTTCTGATTCCTCCTTTTGTCGGGCTTCTCGGGAAAAATAGCCACAAGCTGTAACCAAACTGAGGACTGGACAAGCTTCATCTCAATGTTGGTGAGCTTCTGCGTAGAGATGGTGGTTGAGCCACCTTCAGAATCACGATTCACACATGGATTCGGGTGGCATGTGGCGACGATCAGCCACCCTACACGACTGAGGCACTCATCTCATCACATCTTACTTGCATCTAGTCAAGTACTGTAGCTGATTACGACTCCAAGTGACTTTATGTGGTTATTGAATGCTCTTGACAAGGGTCCAAGTGGACTCTGGACGGAAGGGAAGGCTGAAAAGGGGCTCACTGCTCTCACCAACACCGATTTGCAGCTCCGGCCCTCAAAAGCCAACGAACACTGAGACTGCTCGTGGCAGACAGGTCCACCGGTCGGTCTGTCGTGTCGTTGGCAGGTCTGTCGGTTCTGTTCGAAGAAGAAGCAGAACTCATCTGTCGGTGTTCTGTACATTTTCTGAACTCGCACGAGCTACATCCAACGAAGTGGGGGTTCCCATGGTGTGGATGTAGGCCACCGGGCTTTGGAGGGGCATCTAAAGAGTCAAAACCATCTGAAACGGATGTGGTAGGGAGCCCCAACCAGCCTCCAACCAAGTATCTGTTTTTGTCTATGTCCCTTCATTTTTGGAAGGTCGGTCTTCGGGAGGTCCCCCAATATGTTTCATCTCTTTTCTGTGATGGACAACTCCATCCCCCGACCTCCATCGAGGGCATCCAGCTTTGCAGATAAGCCCTTCGCAAAGGAGCCCGTATCCTCAAGGGACTCCAGGACCGAACGTGGCACAAAAACCGGTGAAACATGACCTGTCTGGGGGCTCATGACCTGTCGGCATACGGTCTGCGTGTAAGATGTTCAAAGGGAATAAGGGAACCTAAGTTATATCATATCGTTTCTTTCATGAAGGGTAGCAGTGAGATGCCCAGCAACAAACTTTCGTGCATGCGCAGGCATTGGTCACCTTCAATTACCAAACCAAATTGTTAAGGAATCTGCGGAGAGCACCTGGCCCATAATGCTTCATCGCAACTGCAACTTTGAGTTGAGAAGTGCCTCACAGTCCTAGCTGGCCGAAATCACCTGAAGGCCTGAAGGGTGAAGTAACCCCAGCTTAAGTCAGACTGTCCCAAGATCAGCTCCAGGCTGGACAGGCTTGACAGCAAGCCGAATCAAATATGACCACACCAAAAAGCAAAAGAATTGGCCCACCGAGACTTGGTCCAAATCCCATGTCGATCCCGGCGCCGATCTGGGCGCCTTGCAATCCCTTCTCTTCGAAAAACCTTCGTCCCTCCACTTCAGGGATTCGGGACCCAATCTCGAACAAACAGTATCTAATGTCCCTATAGGGATCCACTGCCACCTTCTCAGGAGGTACGACTGGGCTCGGAACTTGGCGCCTACATAAATAGTCTCCAATCACCGTACCTGAGAAGGTACTTGGATCCCTACAAATGTATCAACTCTGACGTCAGTGATTGGACTCCGACGTCAGTGACTTGGACTCCGACTTAGTGACTTTGGCGGCTCTGACTGACGTTGAGTGGCCAAGTCAAGTGTCGACTGTGTCGACGCGTGCCCAAAACAACCGAGGCGCGTGGATCACCAGGCGTTCGCCCCTGCCCCAACCTGGGCTGCGGTTGGCCCTGGTGGGCGGAAAAATATAGGCCCTCCACTGGGCCCACCCACCGTACCACCCACCTCAAAATAATAAATTCTTTATTTTGAGGTGGTTGGAGATATCCGCATCAAATTATTTCTGGACTGTCAGAGTCTGCCAAATAATTTCAATAATGTAATACACATTTCCAACATAGATCCGACACGAGACCGTCTAGGTGGGACCCACCCCCCCTAAAGTTGACCAAAGTTGACTCAGCTCGGATTACCACGGACAGTGTCATAATGGGTAGTTGAGTAGTCAACCACCCTTCAAATAATTTATTATTGGGGCTGCTGCTGCTTGCTATAGTCCCACCGTCCCGCTCTACGTGGCTAACACGAACCCCTAAGCCGCTGATGTTGGTTTATGCCGGTTCTCCCTGGCTATGTTTAATCAAATCTTCAAAAACCTAGCGAATTTGCACATTGTTTCCAATCTCTTTTCCTCTTCCACTGTTTCCTTGTTGTTTGTTCTATCCTTTTCCACCCTTTTCTCCCGTTGGCGCCATTTACAGTAATTAGTAATGGGTGGTTGCGTAGTCACCCACCCCCTCAAATAATTTCATTATAGAGGTTGTATGAGGTTGTACCCTGTCCTTTTCCACCTAGTTTCCTGTGATTGAAGCCCATTTAATGGGTGGTTGTGTAGTCACCCATCCTCTCAAATAATTTTGTTATATTGGATTTGGTGGCCATGCTCCTTTTCTTCCACCTTTCTCCCTGTTTCCAACTATCTGTATTGTTTTTTGTCAACATTATTTTCCTTTTCCTCAATTTCCTCCTATTGAGATGACAGGTGTCCTCGACTCGCAAGCATTCTCAGCCTGTGGACTTTGATTCGATGCCTTCCAAAGCATTGGACCAAGTGTGCCTCGCAATTTTTATGAAATAGTTATTTCTCTCTAGCTTTGATCTAGCAGTAAACCCACAAAGCATTGTGCCCAGAGGCTGTAACTCTGAGGTGCTTGTTTGCAAGCTGCTGCTCTGCCAGCCAGACAGGTGGGTCCTCATATACTCAAAATTATTCTAAATAATCTTGTACAGGTGGGTAGTCATAGACTCGAACTTATTTAGACATAGTATCTATCATATGAAAATTATTTTGCACCACCTAGACTGTTCGAGTAAAAGTTATTTTGGAACCACCACCTACATGGCTTGCCAAATAATACTTTTAGTTAATTATTTGGAAAAAATATTGCGTTAAGTGACTCCCACCTCCAAATAATTTCTTAAGGTAGGGGCCATGGAAAAATGGAGTTCTTTTCCTCCAGCACATCCTTTAGATCTACACCTCGGGTGGTACAAATGGCAATCATAGCACAAGATACCAAACGAAATTGCACTAAGGCGCGATTGAGAATGCCAGTCACTCACTCGTTGCCAGAAGCCACAATATCTTGAAGGTTGACTTTGCTGGCATGTGAAGTTCCAGTCTAGGTGCAATTCATGAGAGATCGTCCCTTTCACTTCCAGCTGCCTTTTCAAGTAATGCTTTGTGTCCTGCTTCTCTAAAATGAGCCAGGGGGCAAGGGGCAGCGGGCAAGTTACACTGGGACGTAACAGTGGATGACCGGCTTCAGACTGTTCTCGGTCCAACCCTAATTATTGATGGGGCGGGACAACAATAAACCCACAATGCGGGGGGTACACGGGTTCACTCTCACATTCACTTATTAAACAAAAACAAAAACACTTCAAAACCGGTGGGCTTCACACCCCTGGCAACCTCATCAGGTTATTCACCTGGACTCGCCCAACTGCCACGACCTCGCCGCTATCTCCCTCTCCCCCACTCGATACCGGTCTACCGGTCGGACACGTCGGGCGAGTGGCGTTCTTGCACCACGACCAGCTCTCGATCCAAGGCCAACAAATGAATGACGGCCTTTTCACTCGCCTGAGAGAGGACCGGACAGAGAGGAGAGAGGACGGGACGACGGGACCGACGATCCGTATCGTCAATGTGTGTTTTTGTGTATTTCGGCTCAAACTGACGGTTTTGGGACACCTGTGTGTAAATATATGTCAATGACGTGGCCCGTTTTTGGAGGGTTTTGTGCGACTTCGCGTTTGCAAGTTCAATCGTTAGTGAGTGCCATCAGCCCATCTATCCCGGTCTTAAGGGATTGGAATTGGAAAAGGCAAATGATAGGCCGACTTTGGGGTTGCTGTACGCAGCAGCTTGCAGCTTGCGCTTGAAGGGACCTGAAATGACTTGATGTTGCAGTGACTGATCCTGTGGGAGCATGAAACTTGTAAACCACTTCACAACAGACTAAAATCAGGTGTAGACTCCGCGGAAGAGTCATGGAAGTGGATGGATTGGGCCCTTTGGATACCACGTCCAGTCCATGATTGTTTCGGGGAGTGCAGGTCGCTTCCTACTATAACATATGATAAGGCCGCCAGCTAGACTCACAAATTGCCGAGCAGCTGAGAACTCCTGCCCCAAGGGCAGCCGACCACCGGAAGAGATTCCATCCAGCTTGGCCGACATGTCCTGTAAAATTGGATAGGAAGCAGGAGTAGCAAAACAGAACGTGAGCGAAGTTGCAAGTTCTTCATTTGTTGCAAGCTGGAAGTTCTGGCGCTCATGACGATCAGTCGAAATGAACAAAATACACCTCTGCAGCAACCCAGTCTATAGAACGCCAAGTGCAACTGAATCCAATGCACTGCGTGTGTCTTTGAAAGGCGCTGAGCTGGGCGCTCAAACTGGGCACCGGACCCTGCTGAAGCTGGTCATGTTGTAGACTTTTAAGCCTCGGCCCAGAAATAAAAAACAGAGCCAGGCCCTCCCCTCCCCTCCATCCAGCCAGGAATTTGCCCACCTTCCCGTGTGACAAACATCAATATCAAGTTACCCTGACTCTGACCTCCGTATTTGAAATCACAAATCATACATAGCTGTCGAGGCCGGTTGTTTGCTGGTTGCAGATTGAACATTACAAATTACAAAACTATATATCCTATACTGATCTTTGTCCAATGAACTTCTGTATCGCGATTTTTGAGCTCAATTTGTGGCCAGCACGCTGGGGACAAGGGCCATGAGCTCCGTCCGCACATCAAAACTTCCCACAACATCCATCAGCTTCAGAACAGGCTCCAGTAACTCCAGCTTGATGGTCTGCAGAACCTCTCCAAGACCTCCCCCACCAAGCATCCATCAACTGCATCTCTCTAAGACTTCCCCTGCAAACATCGGACTTGGTCTCTAAACCTCCCTCCGCCGAGGCGCAGCCGGGCGGAGGCACCAAATCGGACTCGGTGATGCCGGGAGCCCGCTCCAAGCTATTGCGCACGCCTGGGTGCGCCACGCGACCGGTGCCCGAATGTGGTGGGGGACAGCGATGAGGAAGGTGGAACGTGGTTGTTTGATGGTGCCATATGATGGCCATATGGATAGTGTGCAGAAGAATCTTCAGGTGATGTGAACTGGTTGTGTCCTTTGGGACAGCATTAATATGTAGCTTTTTCGAGGATGCAGGTTGCTTGGAGCCAGTGGTGTAGCAGCTGTGCAGGATACGACGCTGAACACCTCCGCATAACTCCGGACATTGAGCATCTGCCATGGAAATATGGCAGGACCAGGACCTTCAGTTCGTGACCGCCCTTGAGATCCCGGAGGTCATGAATCGTGCATGAAGAGGTCAAAGAGGTCAGGTACTGAAGGTCCTGGGACAAACAAACACGAGAAACACCGTTAAATAAGTTCATTCCAAGCTGCGTGGTGGCATACGCCCAGTTCCTTTGGTCATCAGGGTGTATAAGCCATACGCCTCGGTACAAACGATGCAAAGGACAAAAGGGATACAAAGCCAGATCCACTGCCACCTTCTCAGGAGGTACGACTGGGCCCTCCAAGCCTACAAAAATAGTCTCCAATCACCTTCTGAGCAGGTAATTACTTGGATTTGTAGGGAAGAAGAAGAACCATCCCTCAGGATCATCCTGTCTGGAGGTCCAGTCTAGTAGTGTAGGGTAGTCTGTTGGACACCCATTGGATGGCCCAGGCAGCCGTCATGTGCCGTCTATGTTCGGGTTTTAGATGTTTGAGGGTGTAGAAATGCACGTTTGGTACAGTTTCACTGCGGAAACAGCCAGGTAAGACGAAATTCACAACTGTATAGACTAGATGTTTCTGTCACTGTGCGGCGGCTCCTTAACAAAGTGTCAAACAAAAATTTGTCGCCTTCACATCTCTCATGAGAGCGCCCGTGGCCAACCACACCCGACTCATGACTGGTGAACAACGGTGCAAATCCCGCGGAAACGAACCGTCGCGATCCGTCGCCTGGGCGATCTCCAGCATTACCCGCCGCCGCTCGTAGGGCGTCAACAAACTCTCCTGGGCGAAGGAGAGGAAATCACGGAGCATATGGTATGGGCTGACTCCTTCAGCTTTCCCTGGAAAACAAAGGTTCACCGTTAACCTTCGACCTATTCTTGTTGATATAGTGGGGAAACCACCTCTCCCCCCCATCCACTGGGTATGATATGATGACATCGTTCCGGTGGCCTGTGGCCGGACGGTTAGCTGCCACCCAATACCCCACCCAACAGCGGCTTAGCAGGTTCCAACAGCGGCCGTAGGTTTGCACCCGGGAAAACCGAGCTCTAAGGGTGAAGGGTGAAGTTGAAGCAAGTCCAAAAGCCTAAAGCGACGTCAGGACTTGCTGGACTTGCTGGCGGATGTCCTTCTTGGTACAATGATCTTGTCCTTCAAGGGGTGGGGAAGAAGTTGCGTGAGTTCCAGATTGCATCAACTCTGCGATGCTTCTACATTCATCCTAAACCAACCAAAACATGGTGTTCAGTAGATGGTGACAACCAGATTGTTGGGGATCAGTCTAGTTTATATTACTTTTGCATGGCACCACCACATGCGCCCAAATAAAAACCAACATGAATCTCATGGCATGGGCATGGACCACTTCCGGAAGACCAAACCACCTGCTATCCTTGGAATACACACCAGCTGTGCTATCCTGTGAGCATCCCCTCACTGGATGGAGCAAACAAAAACTGCTGAACACAGTTCTTTGGAGCTGCTGGCAGGTGGGGCCATCCACGTAACTATGACTTCAGAGTCCAGGCATGTCCATGGCGAAAGGGAAGCCCGGCCATCGGAATGGCCATCGGACACCCCAAAGAACAGGCTAATAACACATGCAAGCCCAAGAACAAAACTCCTTTGAACCAAACAAAGTCGAGAATCGATGTAAACATAACAACACACGTTAAAACATATTAAACCATATCCCCAAATAACCCCTTTACATCCCGTTACTTACTTCAACCTACGTAAGATACCATAAGATACTACGGAGGGTCAAGAAGAGAGGACGTCAAGAGGCAGCTCCACCCCTGAAGGTCGCATCGCTGTACCTCGGTCGCGAGAAACGTGCAGCACCGACCCAAAACGGTCGCTCCAACTGCTTCCTGAGCCATTTGAGGGGTCTACAGTCTCAGTACCTAATGAAGATGTGGTTGGAACATGATTTTATACGGCCATCATTGGCCCCTGGAGGTTGCAACAGGTTGCAACTTTGCAACCCTTGCAAGGTCCGAGCTCCACTTGAAGTGGATAGCAGGACCACATGGAAGACAAGGTGATGCTGGTTTGGGGTGGTGCCTAGCTAGCGGTAGCAAGATCATGAGTGTTTCTATTGTTTTTTGTTGTTCTTCCTTAATCGTGCATAATTCAAAAACTGAATGTCAAACAAAGGTAACGATAGGTGTCACAGCCGCCTTGAAAGGAACAGGAGCTGCTATTGTTGCAACGTCAAACAATCATATCTGCACACTGGCAGGCCCTGGTCCACCATCTTGGATTTGCTTCCCTGAAACCCCAAGAATAGCTTCCCAGTTCCACTGGATTCGCCCACAGGGAAAAAACACCTCACACCTTTCAGAAAAACCAGGCTAAGCGGTCTATGTCGGACTTCCGAGGGTCGTCGTTCCATCACGTGGTTGTTGGTAAATATTCTTCTTTCAGCTGGACTTGTGCAGTACTTTTTCGATGAGCCTGCCAACTCCAACTCACCAAAAACACCTGAAATAAATAGGACCGTATCTCAAGTCCACCCGCTCTTTTTGAGGACTCAGGTTGGCCAGTTCGAGTGGCTCTTTGAAGGTTCCATCTGCAATGGATGCCATCTCAGATTCCACCCAGGACCTGTGTTGCTTCCGTCCACATGAGGAGAGGCGGAGCAGTGACCGTTGTCGACGCAAGGTCGCGTGGCACCGCAAGGCCACGTGGCCTCCCTGAAACAATCATGGAAGCGGAAACACCCTAAGAGTGTAGACGGAAACAGTCTTCCAAGGGGACATGTTCCACTTCCATGATTGTTTCAGGTAGGGTAGAATACTGAAGAATGCATGGATGTCCTGAAAACATCAAGCGGTGGAGGATTCTTTAGTAGCGTTTTGAGTCTCGCTAGCACAGTTCCAGTCGCCATGGTGAATTGTCCTCCGTGTGCCCAGTCAAACACTTACCACCTGCAAACTAACATGGACTTTTGAAAATGGACCCCCATGCACCCCTGTAAGACTATTCTCATCTACCACCCAGTGGTTTTCTGGGTCCATGTTTATCTGCAGGCGGGTAGTGCTCCAGTTTCTTCGCGTGATCCATCTGGCAAACAACCCATGGCCGCGCCATGCCCTAGGTGGAGGTGACAACTCATGACGTGCTCTCTCAGAGTCTGGCTGTCTATCAGCCGTCCCGCAGGGACACCCAGCTAGTGAAACAAGATACTACCCAGTATTCCTTGCTGATTCTTGCTCAAACTTCAAAGACCGCAACAGGCAACAGGATCTGGTCCAGTCTTCTCCTCCAAACAAAGGATTGTACCGACATACAAATTACAGGATCTTACAGGGTTTAGAGGGGCACTAAGGATCTGTACCTTTGGAAATCATGGAATCAAAGGTATTCTGTGATGTTCTGGCGTGTCAGAGGTAACTACTTCTAAAGTGTTAATGCATGTTATTAATGCACTATTGCGACCACCCGGAATTGTGTTGCTCTTCGGTGTGTGTGTGTGCGAACACGTAAAAATTGCATGTATTACAAACAGTGTGGCTTGGAGTGGTTCTGACACCTCTCCCATCCGTTGCCTGAAGCTGTCCTGGCGCCAAATTGATTTGCAGTACGATGAGGTAAAAATCACTTGGCGGCTGAACCGGATAATTTACAAACAACTGAAAACTGCAACAGAAAAGGAGACGTCATACCTGATCCTGGGACCCCTCTGCCTACACGGTATACTCCACAATTGCGAAGTGTCCCGGTCTTGAAGTCAAGTTCAATGTAAACAGGTCCAAATTCAATGCATATTCTAGATCCAAGTTTAAGGTGTAGAGTTACTTATAACATATACTTATTGTTATATCATATATACTAGAGTTGTATCTATTTTGACTTTGAATCAGTTACTAAGGGTGGGTGAGACTCGACGTGTGCAAACCAGCGCTCTAAGTGCTCTTGATGCTTTGTGCACTAAGGGCTCACAACAATGAGGACCCAGCTTTCATTATCCGGGGGAACGGGGAAAGGCATCTTTAGACCGCTACAGGGTCTGCGGAGAACAGATGGACTGGATGGACGACGTTGACGACGGTCGTCCAACGCAACACGAGGAGGATCCAAGCACTCCTTGGAGTGAGTTTCAGTCCATTTTGCCATGTGCATCTTGAAGTTTTGCCGGATGAGTCTTTCAAGTAAAGAAAAGACCCAAAAGAAGGGCAAAAGAAGGGCGAACGCCTTAACTTGTACCCTTCGCTTGATGTGACGGGCGTGGACCCGCAGGGTCTGCAGGCTGAGTCGAGAGTCGGGACCGCACCGGGTCCTTCTCCTCGGCCAATCTTTCAGCTCTCTCCTCGAGGGAAGGGCTGACCCTCTGGCCGTGGCCGTGGCCGTGGCCGGGTGGCCAGGCCATTGCTAGATGGCCCTGAAACAGATGATGATGGCTAGGTAGGCTAGGTATAGAGGTGTGCATGGACATGTGATTACCTATATGTTCACACGCAACCAAGTCGTACTCTTTGGTGGTAACTGGGATGGACCCAAAGCCGTGAAAGCTAGTGAGCTAGTCCTATGAGGTTACCCAGGTGGTCAAAACAATTCCAATTTGATAAGGTAGATTCTAGCTAAATTTCTGTTCAGTCTGCGTCAACCGTTTCTGCATAAGTGGTCAACATAAAGGTAGAAAATGGTAGAATTCATAACCAACCTTGAAGGTTCTATCCACAAGTGAGTTTCTGCCTACAACAATAAAGAAAGAAAGGACGCAAACCGCAAGACGCACGTGATGCACCTAGGACCCCAACCTAGCCCTGCAGTGATGGCAGGCATATGCAGGCATCACCCCTCAGGTTTGGCTGGAGTTGGAAACTCGCGGCGCCCATCCTTCATCTCTTCAAAACGGCCAACACCTCATCGGCTCACGAAAGTGCAACTGGCTGCACGAACCTTTGAAGCGATTCCATCCGTCAAAAGATCCACCATGAACCGCTTCAGCAAAACCTTCCAACCTGTCTGGATCCCCCCCAACCACCGCCCACCGCAAACACAAGGGCCAAGACCACGTTTTTGGAAACTCTCGGCCGCCGAACTGGGGGCGTGCGAGCCACAGAACACCCTGCGTCTCACGCGCAGGGTGCGCGCCTGCTCCGCCTTCTCGTCTTCATCAAAGCCCACATCGTCCCTGTGTGTGGCATACCACGCGCCCAAGGAGTGGAGCGGGGGTGGAGCGCCGTCCGTCCCCCTAAGTTTCACTCGAAAAAAGGGAGGAGAAAGGACGGTTTAATGTAGACTCTTGATTCATTAAACCCCCCATATGAAGAGTATGTCCACTTCAATTGGGAGGGTTTGTTCATCCAGAGTCTACATTAACCTTTTTTCCACGTGTTGAAGTGTTCATATTACGGTTGGGAAATGAACCCACCAAAAAGGGTGAACGGCTATCACTTTTCCTGGGTAGGTGAAGGACCCAATGACCCTGGTTCGGCCAAGACACCCCTTCACCTTCAAGCGTCCTCCACGATCACCTCGCGACGCCAAGGCGATCACCGGTGGTTCCGAGCACCGCGAAGTGGGGCGGAAGTGGGGTATCAGGATGTCTGAGTTGGGAAGTTCCTTTGTTGAAGTAACATGTTGTAATCAAGTTGGTAGAGGACAAGAAGCCAAACTGGCCTCTCTGGAAATCCTCACTTGACCTCATGGTGATCGTTTCACAGTAACACCCGATGTCAAGGAACTCCCCACCATTAGTTTGGGCTGACTTTCTCCTAAACAATTCTAACCGCCTTTCAAGAACTTTCTGGCCTATTCGCCAGAAGTGGGTGTGCATTAATCCCCCCAATTCGTTTGGTCCACCTGATTTCTTGGGCCAATTTGTTTGGCAATACTCACCGCCGTTCGGACCGTTCGTCTTCCTTTTGTGCAACTCGCTTACTGTTCGAATTCCATTTGCATAACTATATAACTATATAGGACGATCCCCCTCATGACGAGACCTAGTCTCCCCAAGAAAATATATGTTTAGTCTTCATTTATTTTGATATAGGGGTACTTATCGGGATCCCGACTCATGAAGAGGTTCAGTCTTTGGAATCCCATAGCCGACTCTTCCATGTATGAAAGGAATCGGACCTTTGCAAACCCTGCAAATGGCAAAACTTTTAGGGAATGTCATGGGAAGGTCTCATTATTTGGGTGTGTACATTGCACGAATAAGACACTCTGTGATGCCCATTTGGGACATTGGATGTTTTTGGGAGCAGGCCGACCTATGATCAGGTACTATCTTTGTCTCCAAAGATTCCGGACGGACGCGGCCTAAGACTACGGACACGGCCGGCCTCTGCGGTGTTTTGGTCCCGTCCGACGTTGCTTCGAGTCAGCTCGACCGAGATCTTCGGAATCTTCTGCGACGAAGCGAAGATCTTCCCAAGTTTGCACAGGACAATTCCAAAGGACACACGAAGAGAACATATTTTTCAGCAGCATCATGTTGGTCTATCCTCTTCACTCCTCTTCGTGGCCGCCGTGGCCGCTACAAGTAACAGCCTGCCCTCGCGTTGCCGTGAACGTCACGCCGCCCCACGGTGATTCGGCTCCGCCTCGAAAGAGGCTCCCGCGCCGGTGGTATTGCTTCCGCTTCGCTGCTGCTCGCTGCCGGAGGGTCTTCCCTTCCTGGCCGGTGACGGCCGGGTGGGTCGATACCAGAAGTGAGGTTGGACCATGGCTCTTTCAGAATGAGCGACGTCTCTACAAGCATCAAGTGGATGGACACATTTTCCTCGGGATACACATGATCTGAAGGAAGGGTCGGAAGGGTTCTGTGAAACTTTGGTTGCAGAACCCTAGGGCTCCAAGTACCTCCTCAGAAGGTATTTGGACCCTCCAAACCCCAGTCCCACCTTCTCAGAAGCTACTTGGAGCCCTAGGGGAAGTATGCAAAAGTCAGGAAGAATGGCTAGCCCGGAACGTCGCTGTCCAGGCCACGAGTCCTTGTGTCACTTTCGTTTATGGGAGCCAGCCCTCGTTCCTCCAGGAAGGCTGACTGTCTGGCCAGTTGCCCAAGAGCTATATTTGAGGAAGGGCCCCCATAAAAATGCCAAGAACGTCCAAGAACAGCAGCTGAGTCACATCCAAGAGCTTTTGAAGTTCTGGAGGTGGCTGAAAACCCGCGAAGAATGCTTTCCACTTCTTTCCTTCGGTGGAGCTCTGTTGCATAGGACGGCTGCACCGTGCTGTATTTATTGTAGTCCAGAAAATGCATGTCAAAGAAACATCGAGAAACACCTTTCAGAAGTAGTGTGTGTTCAGACATGTGTGCATCAAAAGCCAGAATGATACACCGCATCCCCGAAACTGCCAAGTAAAGCACCAATCTTGCCCTCCAAGATATGTGTCTTGCAAGTTCTTGCCATTTCACCGATGTCTAGTCATCTACATTGCATCCTGTCCAACAACGACGAACGAGGCGGTTCGGCTCGGATCGAGTGGAGTTCGGCGGTTGGAATGAAGTGTGACGCCTGGTGTGGCTGTCTGAGAGGGCACCCCCCGAGGACTGTAGGGGTTGGAGCTTGAGGTCTTTCGTCCTCTTTTGCCCATCTAAAGTTACTTAATTCATCCATTGGCCTGGGAGCCCTACTAGGCATTACAGTACCTAGGAAGTATGAAGTGCTTACCACAATGATCCACAATGCAATGCAGTGTTATACTATCTTCTAGACTGAGCCTACCTCTGCTTACCAAGCGCAAGCGAGCTTCATTGATAGCGATTGGAGTGCTTTGTGGTGGACAGCCAGGCATGAACTGGCATACCCTATGGATCCACATGCCGTCTGAGGTGAATGGAGACAGTTTTACCTTTGTTTGGAGGTCCAAGTGCATGAGTCAACACCTTAGTAATTCCTTGAAATTAGATTTTTTCCTAGTCTTGAACACCCCCAATTTACATCACGCGTCGGTGTCTCAACCACCACCCACCAGTTGTCTCAGCGATTCCGGAATCGCCGATCGGATTCTTCGAGGATGCTGCTGGGTGGCTGGTGATCATGCCATCAGGCGAATTGGGGTCCAAGACCACGTCCATGCGATAGAAGATCCTGGGAGTCGGGGCAATGGACGTGGTCTCCGAACGCCAATGGATCCACCTGGTAACCCCAAGAGGACACCTGAGGGGGTGCTTCTGTTATGCTCGGTGTTGATGTCGAGGTGTAGGGAATGTTCTTGGCTTGTGCAAAATGTCAACTGCATTGAGCAGTTGGGAACTGTGTAGGTGTTCGTTTCAGGTTGTTCAAGGAGGTGCCACTGTATGCCACTGTTGTCACAGCAATCCCGTTCTCAAACAAGTCCACCTTCAACATCACCCGGCTCCGGCTCTCACGCAGGCGAAAGCCACTTTTAGGATGTATCAAGGACCTCCACCTGGGTGGGTGCATTCATCAACATCCCCTCTACGGCTCCAAACCACGCAGGGACAGCCACCCCACAAGAAGCCCACCACATGCACCTTCTCCGAATCGCAGGTAGGCCAGGAGCCCCATGCAGTCAACACAACAAATCACACCCCATTTGGTCTTGACCATCGACCTCCCCAGCCAAGCTCGCTGCTCGCTGTCCAAGACTCTGTCCGGGCTTAAGACCGGTCAAGCTCTCAGTGTCGACGTGCAGCAACAAGATTCCAGTATCCCAGGTCACATTGGTGATCTTCCTATGTTGATGTCGTGGCACAAGACGCCCCGTCGACGGTTTCAACGGAGGTCGGTCGCTGAACCGATATCAGACGGGAGGGACCGATATAAGCGATGTGGCCCAATCCGATGATTGGCGGTTTTGGGCGCCTTTGGCTTTCAGCCTTTGGGCTGACTTTGAAGTACAAATCATGCCAGTTGTTGGAAGTCATTAGGCCCAAACGCCTCCTTTTCGTGCGATGACAGTTTGTTAGTTCAACTCCTGACGTCTGCAAAATGATGATCAAACTTCCTATGCCTGTTTGGCCTGATGGCGTGATCGTTTGTTAGGCATGGTTTCGCATGTATCTTGACCTGCGTGGCCATCGGGGAGAACAGAGCACGCTCTCAAACGCTCCAAAACGCACATCACACGTGAGCGGATCATCCGCCCATCTCTCTCAGGGAGCCATCGTCCGCCTGGTGCAGTTGAAGTCGAACCACCGGAAGGCTCGTTTGAAGGAGCCCAACTTGGCCAGAAGCACCTGAGGTCAGTCTGGAGCTCAGTCAAGAGTGAGGCCTAGTGAGTTGAGACAGAAAAGATTCTGGTGGCCATATGAAGGTTTGTCGGAGAAGCGCTGCTGGGTGGCACTGCTCGTGACTGCTTAACATGAAGAAGCAGTCTGGAGGGTGGCCATATTCTCTGGAGAGTTGGATAAGCTAAACTGAAGACTGCTTCTGGCAGTTTTTTGGGTGGGCAAATAATCAGAACCTGAGGGTCTTCTTGTGTGTGCCATGGGCCATGCTGCAAAGTTCCATAAGGGACAAAGTCTGCCCACGGCCTACAGCAACACCTACAGCTGCACTGGCTCTGTGAATAGGAGCCGGTCACTTGCCACAACAGCCTCTTTCTTTTCATTGCGATAAACAGTAATGAATGACACATGTCGTCCATCAACCTCATGCGTTCAAAGCTGCAGCCTGGGCCTTCGGCATGACAACCTGTGACGCATCCTTTTGCACCAACGTCCAACGTCCAGTGACCATGATATGTGTGAAGAGGTGGGTTCGCACCGCCTCGTCACTTCGACCGGCTCAGAAAAACACCCTGATTCACCAACAAAACGATGTGGATGGCATGGCCCCTTTGCATGCATGACCATGTTCCGAATACCAAACCGGTGGGTTTTCCACTTCCATGCGACGTCTTCGGAGGGTACTATATACTTCATATTACTTCCACTTTCTCAAAAGAAGAACCCTTTCCGGCCCACATGTTATTTGATGGTTCTGGTGACGACATGACGTCTACTTTCTTCTTTCCGCTGTGATCCGTTCATTCCATGTTGAAGAACCAGGTGGCATATGCGAAGGCGTCGATGTTCGACAAGTCCAATTCTTCGATCTCTTGCCTCAGTGAGGACGGTGACTGGGGCGATAAGGACGGCCCCAGGTCAAACGACCGGTTGAACGACCGGAGACGACCACCGAGAAAGAGAAGAGGCAGGTCAACCTACCAGGGTCCGCTTCGGGGAACACGGCCACGATTTGACGGGCTTCAACGGGCGGTTGGTGGGGCTTTGTAAGTGTTTAATGGTGTTTGTGGATGTGCAGGGGTGAATGATCGAACCGGACCGTCTCCCAAATGCTTGAGAACAATCAAACAACATCTTCAAGCGCCGTGCGAGGGATTGAAATCTCATGTCACATGGTGGAAACTCGGATCATGGCGGTACAAGTGCAGAGAGTTGGTCAGACCGAGTCATGGAAAACCTGCGGCATCTCAAAGCTCCTGTTTTCCCCCAACCAGGAGCTAAACATCCACTGTTTGCTCCGCCCCACCACTCAGTCTGGAACGCACGAACGCCCCCAAAGCCGGGCTGTTGAGCTGGGAAGTGGACGAAACGCGGCAGCCAGCAGCGTTTCGATCAATTCACCCAACATAGACGAGCTTGATATCAGCAAGCGCGGCTATATAAGTCGTTGAAATCGGAAAGAAAGAAAGAAAGAAGTCAACTCAGAAATGCCCAGAAATTCAGGGAGACTCATTTGCCAAACACCAGAGGTTGAAACATAAACCACATTTGGTAAGAGACCGGGCTTACCTAATGGAAACTGGCCGAACTGGAACTGGACTTCGCTGGCTGCAACTGCGTGTCTGTAACTGCACTTGCTCCGCCAGTGCTTGCAGCTCATCCTCATTCCTGGCGTCGAATGTCAATAAATGTCAGAAGTTTTTGAGAATCCAATTGCTTCTATTTCTGTCCATTTGTGCCGCGATTCACTGGGTCTTATGGATTCCCATCGGGAGGGCGGACTGGGAGATCGCAAAGTTTCATAGGCCTCTTAGTTGGAATCATTTTGTAGTATGAACACTCCCTGGAATCATCATGAAGCTGGAAAACGACCCATTTCTATAAAATACTATAAAGGACAATGGCCCTCCAAGGGGTCATGTTCCACTTCCATGATGATTGCAGGGAGTGTCAATATTTAACATTACTGTTATAATATTTATATTAATATTATATATATATTATATATATTTATTTATATATACATATGCATACTTCCACTGCATGCTCCAATCCTGGCACAATGCTGTCCAAACCGGCAAAAAAACGGTTTTGAGGTCAAGCACTCTCAAGTGTGACCAAGAAACTGGAGAACCAGCAATTTTGCCAATGCATCCTGGGCTCAATTCGGCTACGGCCTTATCGTCGCGCTGCTTAAAGGCTCGCATCACCTTGCTTCGGTCCACCTTCCTTCCATCAACTCCAGAATGGGCACCTCGCGTTGGACGAAACGAATGTGGAACAGGATGGCACAGACCCCATGATGTCCTAGACAGATGGGGGTCCATATAAACCACCGACATTGGGGTTTGTGCCATCTACTCTGAAACAACTGTAGGTGGAAATCCTATCAATCTGTGCAGGGATGTTGAACTTTCGATTTCGGTGGATGTGGGGTGCTGAATTTGTCTGGCACGCGATCGTACGCATTGTTACTGTACAATGTTGATACACGCAGCACTTGCCATGCGTAAGAATAGGACACAAAAGAATACAAAAGAATGCCTTAAATATGCGTTGGGCAGAACGCTGGAGAACCCTATCCTATAGATGGACCATCCGACCATCCATCCCTGCGCGGATGGAAAGATCAACCGAAACATGCAAAACAGCCTGGCTATCATCCCAGCAATGCCGGCCGTGGATTCCATCGTGCAATCCCATCCTGTCCATATCCATCTGTCCCATGCATCAAAACCAGCATGGCCGAGCCCCCTCAAGGCCCGGGGCGCCTAAGAGGCGCTTCGGCTGAAGCGTTGAGAGCTCGTCTTCGGAGGCATTGGAACTGGAGGTGCTAATCTGTCGGTTCTCCTCGGCCCGCTCGGTGGTGGCGAACCGCCCGGCGTGTGACGTGCGTGTGACGTGCGGCCACGACGGAAGAAATAGAGCGCTTGAAGAATTGCATTTAAGGGAGAGCCCTCCAATGGTCACAAGCTAAGGGAGTAATACACTTTATAAGGAAGCGACACCTGCCAAAGTTCAGAAAGTTTCCGGAAATCTCGGAAACATTGTCATGGCTATTGCAAAGCCCCACTTGCTGGGATCTGGAGAGGTACGCCAGCACAGCCATACCAGGGTGCCCAACCGTGAGGCCCCAACGTTTTCAACGCTGAACAAGTCTGTGAACCTGCCTCTGCTGACCACCTGAGGATCTTAGTCACTCAGTCATGGATGAAGCAACTTCAGAGAAGCCACAAAAGAACTACCACCTGTTACACAGAACGTTCCGTTTCCCCACTCCAAAATATTGTTCCTCTAAAATTAGGGTGGTTCCGACAGGCAGCCTTCCAATTCTCCATACGGCTTGCGTCGCCTTGGCCAGGCTGGAATGAAAGTAATACCAGGTTTCACTACATCCCTGGGGTGAGCATGGGATTGGTAGCCAAATCATGAGCTAAATCGGTAGGGTCATGTTCGATGGCCATGCTAGTAGCAACAGGGTAAACATGAGGATCCAACTGTCCCACCTGTAGAAGAATTGAAGGCTTGAGTCATTCAGTGCTTGCAGCACAACATACACATGCATGATTAAGTCACACAAGCAAATCAATAGATCGCATAAACATGTAAGAACGCATGAACACCAAAACACCTCCCACTTCTTCCAAACAGAAGAGAAAAAAACGCTGCTCCTTAATCCATCTCAGTTCACCATGAATCGACGTCAGCTCCTCAAATCTCTTGCCTTCCAGTGCTCCGAGCTCATCCACTTCGCCGCCCTCGTGCCCGGTGCCGTTGCCGTCGCCGTCCGCCGCGGCGCTTCCACCGGCGCTTCCACCGGCGCTTCCACCGGCGCCGGCACCGGAGAGCGACGTGGAGGCTCCGTCGGCCGGAGCGGCATGGTGGTGCGTGGCGCGGGCGGTGGAGTCGTGGTCCAACCTGGGAGGGTTTGACCGTGAAGCCTATGGATCCTTGATATGGATATTATGTGCGAGTATATCTATCTATAAATATATATATGTGTGTGTGAGTGTGAAGCCTATATATTTGTATCTACCCATCGATCGGTAATTGTATTTGTTATTAGATATGGAATCCATGGGACTGGAAGTTCGTCAGACCGGTTAGACATTGACTCCATTTGATGATCGTAATGTAATTAACTCTTTCCATGGATTGCCTGGGAATGAAGTTGATCATGATGGAATTGAAAGTCCAAAAGCTTGGGGTGGCATCCTGTGGGGAGTTTGCCTGCCGCACAGGTCATGAATCATCAAGGATCCATAAGCATCCTGGATGTTCATATATAGAAGCTCGCGTGGTCAGCATCCAGGCGGGGCTTTTCCACACGATATGTTTGTACTTGTGCAAGAACGAGACTGACTTAGAATATAAACAGTTGGCAAATGGAACTTGGTGACTTGCATGCTGAAAACTAAGGCACTAAGGCTTTTAAAGTCCATTCCGAAGGGTCCACCGTTCACTTGCGACGAACATTTGCCCAGAAGGAAGGGGAAACCATAGAAACCAACACATAAACAGTAATTTGTTTTCCCGCCATTCCCAGGAGCTGCAAAAACTTTTCTTAAATCCAGGTGTTAGGCACTGGCCAGCATCTCCTTCCATACCATCTTCATCCCGGCTAGTCCTCGCTGCGGTGAAGGCCTTTCGGGCTTCAAAACAAAAGGGTGGCATCGAATGCTCACATGAAATCCCAACAAAGCTGTTGCTTCAAAACCCAAAAACTGTTGAAACTAGAAGAGCTTGACACTTACGACACTTACAAGAACCTCGCCCAAACCTGCTCGTGCGCCATTCTCCTATTAAAAAAACGGAACAAAAAGAGAAACCACCGAACCACACCCAAGCTGGTGCATCAGCTTCAGCTTCGCCCCCGCAATCGAACACGGTCTCTCTCGGATCTCCTCTTCCCTTCTCTTCGGCCTTCAGGTCCACCCTGCCACTCCTGCAGCAACTCCGCGCTCACACGGTGCGTCCGGTGTTTGGCTGTGTCTTCTCTTCTCCGAGCCGTCCGGTGTGGGATGCACATGATGCGATCAATGAGACGAAGAACGGACACTGAAGCGAAGGTTGTCTTTCTTGGAGTGAATTGGGTCGGACAAGGGCTTTTTGGGAGCGATGAAACATCACGAGCTGATCGGTTTTTGGACTGATTGTAATACATACAGTGGGGTGGTTTTGGGGGGTCAATGTAGGCATATCTTCCATACGTGGCGTGTTTGGGACCTATTGCACTGATGATCTAAATATACCCCAATGACTATCCATCCATTTGCTGCATGGTTCCTGTCCTTTTTTCTCTCAATGTTTGGTGTCCGGCCCGGAGCGGACGCTACAAGATCCCCAAGATCCGTAGATGATGGACGTGGTCAGGCTGGACGCTACAGGACTCGGTTTCAAGCCGCCAGGTGGAAAATCCAGGGTTTCAGCACACGACAGTACTTGGCAACTTGGCATTTTGAACGATATGGGACGGAGCAACGTCTTTTCCGAGTTCGGGGCTTCTTTCAACGAGCGGACGTGAGGCTTCGATGGTGCTCAAATCAATCCCAAGCTCGGATCCCAACTGCCCTCACTTGTTGAATTTCGTGTTTGTCTCGCCTACTCCGCCCTACTCCTGCCGTTTCCTCAATCCACTCACATTCCCCAGAACCAAAAGAACATCTTCCCCCACTGTCTGCCAATTCAAGAGCATACCACCCTCCAAACAAACCAAGCTCCAAGCTCACGCATTCAGTCTCTCTAAAGGAACCGCATGGAACCGCTGGGGCGGCGGGGAGCCAACGTGCTTTGCACGGCGGACGTCGCAAATGTTGCAGTGGCTGAACTCGACCCCATCCTGGCTGAACTCCTGGCTGAACTCGACCCCATCCTCCTGCAGGGTGTATATGCCACTCCTTGGATATTGTCTGTGCAAAGCCTGACAAAATACCGAGCAAACTGTTCACCTGTTGGATTTGAGCGATGAAACATGGTGAAACCAATTACCCCACCAAACACATGTTAAAACTTATGGCTTAATTATTCACTTTTCCTGGGTAAGAAGCTGAAGAAACTTGCTCTGTGGGGTCGAAAGTGCTCTTCAGCTCGTTACCCTGTGCCAATTCCAAGGTCTGACACGACTGAAGTTGGAGATGTTTCTTTTGCGACCCAGTGCTCCGGAAATCAAAGCACCCACGCACATTCCAACCGTTTGTGATCGTTTGTGTCCCCAAAAAAATGAGCACAGCACGGAGATGTGGGTTTGAACTTCAGCGATCTATCCGATCTCCACCCAATCTGAGGCCAAGGATGCCTCCCAGTCTGGTTACACCATTTAAAATCATCCAAGCATTGTTCAATTAATTGAAAAAACAACGTCTCCGCCAGGGCCATGGGCTGTGCGATGCGAAATGGAGGTTTCACCCAGTCATCTATCCTCCAGCCACTCTGAAAGAATGTTTCCTCCACTTCTGCATGATCGGCTTCTTCCTTCAGTGTCCGGATTTGGAGTTCAGTCCACTTCGACCAAATTGTGCCAGGCCAACCGCTGACCGAACCAACCAGGCATGAAAAAGAAGCATTTCCCAGGGCATCCAGTTACCACTATAGCTGGTAACCAGTGGCTCCAAAGACTAAAACCATAGACCGAACGAATCTCTGGTTCCTTATATAGTGGTAACTGGGATGCACTGGGTGCCATATCATTTCATCAATCCAAGACTCTCCAAAATGCTCTTCAAGGCCTGCCAGAAGAGGCGTTGCTATTTTCTCTCCGAGACCCATATGAACCGCCGGTTTTTGAGGGGTTGAAACCACGTTGAAACAACCATGCCAGTGTCCAAGAACATCCTGCTCAGCTCAGCTAGAGCTTGCGAGGTGGTCTCAGAATTGTGCAAAATATAACTGTGCATTCAGCTGGTGGGTGCGAGCCAAATTTTGCCAAGCAGTTGCGGCCCAAAATCTGACATGTGTTCAAGGCTTCTGTATACCTAAACACGTCAGGCATGTCAAATTGGGTCCATGCAGGCATATATTCCATATTCCATACATAGAGTGTTTGGGATTGGCACCATATATATGTCGTCCCTCGATATCGAGCACGTCGCCTACAGCCGTCTGGTGAGTCTGGGCTCCGGTGCCCCTGGAATCCACATCCCCACACGGAAGTGACATCAGGGATGAACTGTTTTTCATTGTTTTTCGCAGAAAGAACCAACTGTTGAGTGAAAGCAAGGGTTTGCCGCCCAGTAGATTTCTTGAACATGAATCCGGCCCCTTGGGCTGTTAAAACATGGATGGCCTTTACGACTTCCAGATGGACGATTGTTGAGTTTGAACTGGAGCAGCCCTCAAGCACGCCCCACAGAAGGGCCAACCAAAATAAACCTCAATAAATCTCAACACTCGCCCAAAGTCCACACCGATCGCTGCGAACACAGTTGTCTTGCGAGCTCACCTTGATGGGGAGCTTCCTCATCTGCTGCCAACGCTTTGGCGCCTGGCTGCCGCGGTCCTCGGTCAACAGAAACTCTGCAGCCTCAGGCGTCGCGCAGGTGGGGATGGTGGCACAAACGTGGCGGGGATGGAAGGCTGGAGAGGAGCTAAGTGACAAGTTGTGGAAATTTTGGTGCAACTTTGAGAGGTCACCACTCTCTCTCTATCTCTCTCTCCTCTGTTTTGGTGTCGCTTTGGAGACCCATATCGCCTCGTGACCATGCGTGACCCCCAAAAACCCAGCAACACCTCAACTCTCCGGGGTGGGGAAAACCGTTCAAAACCAACGACCAACTATTAGGCACTTGGGTAAGGCATCTTATGGGTGTCCGGTACATGGGAAAGCGCGTGTCTTTTGTCATCGCGGCCGACCTCGGAAAAACAGAACGGAGCGATTTCGGGCCTCGGCCCCGTTCCGAAAGCTGTGAATCAACAAGTGCCGTCTGAAAAAGCCTTTGCGGCCAGCTTGTCCCGATGTCGTCTCAGGTATTGGAGGCCAACTTTTCATAGAAGTGATACCAAAGAGTGATTGGTAGATGAATTGTAGCTTCTCCAGCTGACAGTGGATGGTCAACAGCTGGAGGACAAGGGAGTTCTGTGGGCTTCGTGAGGTTGCACCAGGAAAAAAACACGCAAAACACCTCTCATTCACCCGTTGAGTGGATAAAATCCAGACAAGCGATATGAGCCGCCAACAATGAACATCGAATGCCATAAATCCATCTCTGGACCCATCCTGCAGCCATTCACCCCTTGAGCGTTCTCACATTCACAAAGGACGAACCAAAAGCACCCAAGCGATCGAATCCCATGGAAATGGAAGGTCATCGAAATCGACCAGGTCTATTGGGGGAACAAGTCAGCTACCTTACCCATGGATCATTTCTGCTGATGTGATTTTTGGGTTGATCCAGAATCCATGTCAATCCTCTTCCCTCCTTGCTATCCTTGCTGAATCATGCATCCCATCCCCCCTGCACGCAGCGCGGAAAGGAACAAGAACGGCGCCTGCTGGAGCCTCCAGGCCCCCGGCCCGTCGACCCCTTCCTTTCTCCGAGCTGCAGTGCCTGAGAGGTGTGAATCGAAGAAAAGCATCCATTGCTCCAAGGTGATCTCCAAGGAAGCCTGCCGACGCGAGTGAACCTGCTCCCACCGCCATCGGCCGACGTCCGCCGACGCCCAGAAACGCGCACACTCGCGAGGAGGTCTCGCGGGGGGGGAGCACTGGGGAGGCCTGGTGGTCTGGTGGGTTTGGGTCTCTTCACTCGAAGGCCCAAAGGCTTGACTTCTGAAGCCGGGCTTCATTGGCCGATCTTAGCCGGCTGGATTGAGTCGACTGACATTCCCTCTGTCAACCAATGCTCATTGAGTCTGCCGTTGGCGGTGGGAATCTTTCACACGGCACAAACCAAGAATCTGAGAGTCTGTGCGAAGCGAGGGGTGTACAACTGTGTGAGCCCAGCCCACAAGTCCAACTCTCTCCCCTGCTCAAGGGAGTCGTGGCATTTTTTGCAACACCCTATTGTACATCTCTGAACGGAACTCTTCCATCCAAGCTCCCAAAAATCCAGAGCTCCTTGCCACCAACGGAGCTGATCTGCCGGAAGACCTTCTTGTTGGGCAAGCCAACCACCTCCTGCGAGGCGGAGCTGGGACTCCACCGGCGGAGTCCGAACCAACCGTGGAGTCCCGACATGTTTACGCAAACAAAAACGTTCAAGTCTAGCTCCAGAAGAAAACTGTACAGTGGTTTCAGGGTAGGTGGTACATGATGGTACAGACCCCATGATGTCCTAGACAGATGGGGGTCCATATAAACCACCGACATTGGGGTCTGTGCCATCTACTCTCAATCGACTATGACTCGACGCCCTTGAGGAAATGTACATCGATCCAATGATTGCAAGGAACCTGAGTCAGGTTTCTACATGGAGAACCTTTTCTAACCAGGTGATGACTTTCCCAGATCTGTGGTCACTGGGGCAGGCCCAAAAGCACACCTCACCCGGCTGTCTGTCACGCAAATGACGCAAAAAACTCATGGAATGGCTTTCCAGTACAGTACTACCTTCAGGACTCTTGTTGTGACTGAAGTTCAAAAGACCCTTTTTCTGGCAAAGGCCTCTTCAAACCAACAAAGAACACCACTTGACTTGAACATTATTTTTTGTTGTTGGGGGGCCGTATAAGCCCCAGAAAACACAATTAGCGGGACTTTGGCGGGAACTGCAGAAAGGGTGGCCATGCGACGCTGGGATTCTTCAGTGGCACCTACGCGAGCTATTAAAATTTAATGACTTTTTTGGGCGATGCCGTACGCCATTGCGTTGCTTGCGCAAGGTGCTTTCACAAGCTTTCGCAGGATCTCATGCTCTGCACAAATGCCTATGCGGTACATTGATGAGTTCCACCTTTGTATGTTTCGTGTCGTTTTAACATTACAGCTTGCTCACTTCTTGTTAGACGGAACTATGTCTTTTCAAGGGAGGTATGCCCAAGTCTTGTAGGACATTGAGAAGTCTTGACATCTCTTGATCCTGGTCAGCTAGCGAGGCTAGCGAGATGGCAAATCGGTCCTCTGTGTCCAAGCGGATGGTGGCCAGGGTAGTTTGAAATTGACCTCGCGTGACTTTGCCCTTGTGGTTGTAGTCGAAGTGTTGGAAAGCTCTCCTGAGAACTTCTGCGGTGCATCATCCAGACTCTCCCAAGTCAGACAGAAGATGGGTGCATGTCCATGTTTTTCCCTTCTGCAACTGGTGGATGGGTGACATGACGGCACCATTTGCTTCCAGTCAACACTGGTGCCCATCAGCGGTCCACTTTCCATGCGGCTCCACATCCCGCATGGCAAGCCATGCGGATGTCCACAGGTACAGTCTAAACAGGACTTGCGATTCTTCGTCCAGCACCGTTGGTTCGAAGAAACAAATTGAAGGACTGAATTACCTTACAGAAACGGGTTTAGACATGGAAAGACTTTCTCAAGTGCAACATAAAACACTTAGAATTATAGTGGGTTGAGAGATTCGGCACAAGGGCCCCCAAGGCAACGGTGGCTGAGAAATGGATCCCCCATCTGTCTAGGAGAGAAATTGGGGTCTGTGCCATCTACGTGCTCTAGAACCATTGTATGGGGAGCGCACCTTTCTCCCCAGAGGCTCCAGAGGCAGAAGAAAAGGCCGCAGCCACCACAGCACGTCACGTCTTTCGCCGAGGTTCTCCAGTGATCCAAAGCGATTTGTCAGGATGGCTGCAAACTTGCCTAGGCACCGAAAACAAAAGGACACATCAAAAAACACATTGAAAATAACACATATCCCGGCAAGAGACCCCAAACAGTGTGTGTGAGGTCTGTAAGCAGAACGTCTAGAGATCTAGACGCATTGGGGTCCAGAGAGGTGATGGTGGTATGAAGTGAAGGTGGGTGTGAGTGAGTGTGGATGAGAGGGAGTGTGAGTGTGAGTGAGACTGAGAGTGAGTGTGAGTGCGAGTGTGAGTGAGAGTGTGGGCGAGAGTGAGAGTGAGTGAGTGTGAGTGTGAGAGTGAGTGAGCGTGAGTGAGAGTGAAGGTGGGGGTTAGTGAGTGTGAGTGAGAGTGAGAGTGGGAGAGTGAGTGAGAGTGAGAGTGGGAGAGTAAGTGTGAGTGTGAGAGTGAGAGTGCGAGTGAGTGAGAGTGGAGAGTGAGTGTGATTGAGTGCGAGTGTGAGTGAGTGAGTGAGTGAGTGAGTGAGTGAGTGAGTGAGTGAGCGAGTGAGTGAGTGAGTGAATGAATGAATGAATGAGTGAGTGAGTGTGGGTGAGAGTAGGTGTGCGTGAGAGTGAGAGTGTGAGGGAGTGAGTGTGAGTGAGAGTGAGTGAGTGACAGTGAGTGTGGGTGAGAGTGAGACTGGGAGTGAGTGTGAGTGAGCCTGAAGGTGGGTGAGTGGGTGAGTGTGGGTGGGTCAGAGTGAGAGTGAGTGAGTCAGTGAGTGAGTGAGTGAGAGAGTGAGAGAGAGAGAGGGAGAGTGTGTGTGTGAGTGAGTGTGTGTGTGTGAGTGTGAGAGTGAGAGTGTGAGAGTGTGAGAGTGTGAGAGTGAGAGTGGGAGAGTGGGAGTGGGAGTGAGTGAGTGAGTGAGTGAGTGAGTGAGTGAGAGAGTGAGAGAGTGAGAGAGAGAGGGAGAGTGTGAGTGTGTGTGAGTGTGCGTGAGTGTGTGAGTGTGAGTGTGAGTGTGAGAGTGAGAGTGAGAGTGTGAGTGTGAGTGTGAGAGTGTGAGTGTGAGAGTGGGAGTGAGTGTGAGTGTGAGTGTGAGTGTGAGTGCGAGTGCGAGTGCGAGTGCGGGTGGGTGAGTGAGTGAGTGAGAGTGAGTGTGAGTGTGAGTGTCAGTGTGAGTAGGTGTGAGTGAGAGTGAGAGTGAGAGTGCGAGTGAGAGTCTGTGAGTGGGAGAGTGGGTGCAGTGTTGGACGCCTTAGTTATACCAAGTTATAACTTGGGGCAAGTTAGGTTATAAGTCACGGTAACACCGTTATAAATTGGCTTAAGTATACTAAGTTCGTTTCCAAGTTATAACTTACATATGTTTTACTGTAATTATAACTTACTTACAAGTTCTTTTTTAAAGATCTGCTCCTGAAGTTAGTTTGAAGTTACGGAAGTTAGCATTTTGGCAATGTTTTTTTGGGTTCCCTTGTTGACGTCGATAGAAACAGTGTTTTTTTTAGCTACCTGTTTTCTTGACTTATTTTAGTTCATTTTTTATGCTATCTACATCTTTGATTTTTCTGTTGGCCAGATCTCTGTTGGAGTTCCAGTTTTCATCGCGGCGTGTTGTCATAAGTCGTCTTTAAGCTTTTGCAAACAAATGAGTATTTGTTCTCGAATATGTCATTGATACAATGTACATATGTGGTTATAAAGGGTGTCCTGGCTGCCAGGATGGTAGCCTGCTAGTTAAAGTCCTGGCTGCCAGGACAAAGTGATTTTAAAACCCTGGCATGGCGGTGGCTGGGAGTGATCCTGGCTGCCAGGATACCTTTGCTTGTTTCTTGATACAATGTTTTTGGATTATTCCTGGAAACCAGGACTTAGACACATGGTAAAAAGCTGAAGAGACAGATGTACACAGAGGTAAACAGAGGTATGCAGAGGCACATACCTCTGTATACCTCTGTGTACCCCTGCCTAGGGCAGAGGTATACAGAGGTATACAGAGGTATGGGCAGAGGTAAACAGAGGTATACAGAGGTACACAGTATGGGCAGAGGTACACAGAGGTATGCAGATGTATGCAGAGGTATGCGCGCAGTTGCATAGAACAGTGCCCAAGTGCATACAGACACACACAGATGAATACGGACACTTTAGTTTTTACCATCGAAGATGGCAATGTAATTTGTCTCTTGCGACAACCTGCGCCTTGGAGAGAGAACAAAGGAATCACATTTTTCGCGGTGGTCCGAACAATTTCTGAGTTTTGTTTGGCGGTGGTCCGCGCGTTTTGCGGTTGAACTGCTTGTTCTTGTTAGTTTTGCTTGGCGGTGGTTCGCACATTTTTTGATTGAACTACTTTGTTGGTTAAAAAATCATTGGTTTCAAGCTTGTTTTACCCCCCAAAACAACAAAACTTCAATTATAAAGAAATTAGTGAATCAATGGTAGCAGTGATCAAAATTGAATCGAAAAATTAGCATTTTGAAGTTACGGAACTTATAACTTACTTACAAATTAGATGTAAACTCATGACTACGACATTTTACTAACTTCGGTATAACTTATTTATATCTTTTTCAGTTCAGTATCTAAGTTATAACTAGAGCGGCCAACACTGTGGGTGTGAGTGTGAGGAACTCCGAGTGTGAGTGAGAGTGAGAGTGGTGAGTGTGGGTGGGTGAGCGTGCGTGTGAGTGTGAGTGGGAGTGTGAGTGAGAGCGAGTGAGAGCCTACGAGTGGGAGCCTGCCACGAAATCTGCACTTAACGATCCACATGTCCAAAAGTCACGACTCACTCCACCTGTCACGAAATCTGAGCTCCTTGACGATCACCACCATGTCCAAAGTGCTGCACCTGCCACGAAAACTGCATTTCGAAGCAAAAAAGCTCCGGTCGACTTTGGAGCACCACCGCACGAGGTTTCCCTTGCGCCTGCCACGAAAAGTGACCACCATGTACCAAAATGCGCACGGCACCACAACGAGAGCGCAGTCGCGACAAGCACACGCTCCAGCCACCCAGATTCTGCGAGCCTGCGCAGTCGAAATGCACATGGACGATGTCGAGAGGCATGAATAGCAGCGAATCAGCCGCACACGCCCGCGCGCTTCAGCGATCTAAGCATCAGCTTCCTTTCCCCTGCCGTAAGAACCCCTCGGTGTGCCCACACTGTTTGGGGAACAACGTGCATATAATGGGAGAAATGACCAGCTGTTGATTATAGAGTTCCCTGCTGTTGATTTTCTTTGTTTCAAAAGGAAAGGCACAAGTAAGAATGTGCTCATTGACCCTCATCATATTTGGTCCAACGACCTTAGAAGCCCTGTAGTGGGCAAAAAAGTCAAGATTTCACAGTATATCTGCTCAGATTTCATCTCGATCTGCTGATTTTTTCTGTATTTACTCAGTGTATTTCTGCCTAGAACTTTGAGAATTCCAAGGGTATAGGTATGTCTCTGACGCCTGACCACCTACAAGTAATTAGGAGTTTTTAGAGATGAAAAAAAAGGCCTAAGCCTTGAGGAGAAGGCAAGATACTCATGCCTTGAGGCAAGCTCTGCATGAATTGCTCGTGAGCTTCTTCCGAAGCCGTCTTCTCAGCCCGAATCTTCTCCCAAAGCTCTGCCGCCTGCGCTGCGCGGAAACGGCGATGGCCACAACACCGGGACAAAGAACCAAGGTTGAAGGGAGCACCACCCAAAGGGTGGTTTATACTCTCCCCCTGAAGATGCACTTTCTATCCAATCACCACCCGAAATGGGTGGTGCTGGAAGGGAGCTCTGCCCGTCCGCGAAGCTGAAGACCAGGGAAGACCGCTCTCTTTGGTGTTGCACCGTGGTTTTGGTGTTGCGCGGTTTCGGTGCGACACGTGGTGGAGAAAAAAGTATCTCATGATAGATAGTGATAGTATATGTAGCAGATGGCAAAGGGCCATCCAAGTTTGGTGGTTTCTCCGGGCACGTGCCATCTCAGACCATCGAAGCCTGTTCCGTTGAAAACCACCCGGCGAGATCTCGCATCCGCGGATCCGGGTCCACGAACCTCGGCGACCTGGGGATCTTTCAAAGGAATGGGATTCGCGACGAGTTGGCTCAAGTCAAAGCCTCGGGTGCACCGGAGAAACCCGGGTCTGGAAACCCGCTTTAAGCGGTGGGTGAGTAAAGTGAAACATAGCTCGTGATTTATACATACATGGATACATGGTCTCTCCATGTATATGAATGTATTGCTGCTCTCTCATTCTCTTATTTCTTCATATTTCTTCGAGCTTTTTTGTTCCACCCCTTTGGTGGGTAACATGCTCCGCCGCAACTTTCGGGTGTCATGTCTTGGATGGCGCCATGTGGTTTCATGGGGGTGTCTCAATTGGCTCTTCTTCCGTTGCCTCAAATGATTTGGAGTCGAGTCAACTTCGAAGTTGAATAGCAAGTAAACCAAGAAAACATCCTGCGTGCTACACCCAAAGCACTCAAAAAATGACCAATAAAACTCCAACAAAATGACATTATCAATCATTATCAACAAAGACAACACACATGACAAGCAACTACATGATGACAATAAACTGAGAAGCCCTATAATATCCTATAATGACAACATGAGAAACATAAATATGTCATCAACCTCAGAACCGGGCAGTAACAGTAACTCTTTAGACTAGAGCTCGGTCCCTTTATCTGGTGCTAATACAGCCTCCACCATGAACCAAACAACCAGAAAACCACACGTGGACTTTAATGAGCGCAAAAGGGAAAACACATGAAAACACATAGAGCTTGACCCCCGCTTCATGTGACCTGGAAAACACCCCGTGGAACGCCTCACGATGCGGAGGTAAGCTACGATCTATCCAACCCCTTCAACAGGGGTACACAATCATATGTCCTACATGTCCTACACGTGTACGTGTTCGTTCCGCAGCAAAGGTCACAGCAATCTGAGGAAAGAACTTTTGCGTTGTGTGTCCTCCTTGACTTCAGCTTCTTCCTTCTGTGACGCGGAAATCTTGTACCAGCCTGGCACGCTGGTGACAAGGTTGTTCACGTTTTTGTTCGTAGATGTCCCCCACACTTAGGGCAGGGATGGAGAATGGCTTTCGGTTCCATCCGGTCGATTATGTTGATTCATTTACAGTGGCTTCAGGGTAGAGAGCACTGGCACCAAGATGTCCTAGACAGATGGGGTCCATATAAGCAGCCACCTAACGTGGGGATTGCGCCATCTACTCAATCTACTACCGAAAACAACCGCAGAAAGTTCACACATGTTCACACCCGTTCTTGGAGCCGCACGCACCCGGCACCCTGGTGTGACTGCCGACTCTCCAGCAAATCTACCTGGAATGTAAAGGTCACCTTGACCTGATCTACCATTGGTCCATATATTGATCTGGTGTAGTGGATCACCTGGATCTGGTGGATCACCTGGATCTGGTATGATCGGATATGGGCGATCTATTCCCCCAAAGAATTGATCGAAGGTGATCCACGACTGTCCTGGGTAGACCAATGTTGAAAGGACATCTGTGCTGACACACAGCACAGCCGTGTTCTGACCTGTCCCTCAACCGACCAACCGAAGCCGTTTGGACTCAGCCAGCAGTGATGAACAAATCAAAGACTTGCCCCCCAAAGCCCAAAACCCCACACTCTCCACCTCTGTGACGATCCCCCCCTCTTTCGACAGCCCCCGGGGCGACATGCTGCTATCGGCAGCATCGACGCATCGGAACGACTGCAGTCTGCAGATCCGAGCATCGGGCATGAACTGTATGACCCAGGGCATTTCTTCGAAGCGTGCAAGGCCCAGAGCGGCTCCAAGTACCCTCTGAGAAGTTGGGACTGGGGTGGGGTTCAAGGGTTCAAATATCATATGAATCCATTTCAGGAGGTACGACTGGAGCCCTATGGACATACTGGGCCACCATCACGAGCTGGAGGCGACAAAAGTGGGTCCACAGGCGCAAAATCCGTTGACATGGCCGCGTTCAAACGCCAGATTCGATTTCACAGATTCGTTCGCACGTCTCGGCGACGTCGTAGCTGAAGCCAGAACGGGTAGGGAAGGTGTACGCCTGTAAGCATGTGCCCGCCTGATTCAGGAGTAGTAGAATGTTGCATAGGAGCTACAATGATAGCTGCTATATGATACTATGATGCTATGTGCGTCATATGTTGTTGGCAAACATGTTCCCAACATGTAGTATAGCCTATAGCCATTCTATCAGTCTATGCCATTCTAACACTTGCATGCAAGTCAAATTGTCAACAGCCATGGGCCCCGAAAGAGGATTAAAACATATAAAAACATATTCTGAGAGAACAAATCTTTGACCGAACCACTCAAAAAGGCGAATCAACGTCGCGCACAGATTTCCTCAACCCAGTGCACTGGTCCAAAACAAGCACTTCGATTAAACGCACATGACATGTTCACACTGCAAATGAATACCATGACATATAGTGATGAGGTTCCCGACATGGAAACGTGCGGCCTTGTCATCTGCTGTAAAATCGTGCGGTGACCCCTAATTTTGCATTGCACTTTGCATGCGGTTCAGCCTCCGAATTACATGATGAATTTCAAGCTTCCAGGAGTTACAAGCAACATGCATCCCCAACCAACTGGACACAGGGGAGCTCATGTAACCTCATAATATGTAACATCTCTGGCCACTGAAGGTTTTCATGGTCATCAATCGGTGCTCCTGCCATCCGGAGTCGGTCTCGCTGAGGTGGCTGGACGAGCACGAGCACTCCACCGTGCTGGTTCCACGCATAAAGCGGCGATGAGTCCTGCGTCGTGGTCGACACCGGGACGTATCATCAAACGATCAAACAGTGGGCCCCCTCCCTCCTACAATCCTGGAGGTGGAAGTGGCCAATGATATCGACCAGTAATTACATACCAGCACTTTGGAACTCCTGGTCTGTGAATGTATTGAGAGACCGCGGTAGTCGAAAAGGATGTCGAAAAGGCACAGGTTGAATTGAACATGTTCACACCCTTAGTGATGGTCCTCTTCAGCAGAGTGCACGCACTCATTCCTTGTAAGATTGGGTATCTTATTCCCATCTATTCCCTGTAATTGGCAGTGGGTGATGGCTAAAAAAGGCATTTCCCTGAACTAGTGATAATGGTTAACCGACCTTGACAGGTTATAAGACACTCCCCTCCTCCGGATGGCAAGAGAATGAATCGACTCCATTGACCCCCAGCATTCGGAAGTCCTGACGAACGCCCATCTGGTGCGTCCAGTTGACGACGTCGCTCGTGTGACTCGATGAGTCGATCACGCTGGGACTGTCCAGTCAGGTTTCGGGTGTAAGCGTCATCACGATTCGTCGAAGCAGAGCCCATGATCAACGCCCCGAAGAAGTGCCACACTCGCGGCCGAAGCTCACAAATGGCTGCGAGACGCAAGCATTCCACAAAGCTAGTTGCCTAAGCCATGCATCTGGAAACACCTTCACAAAGCATATGGGTGCTCCCCGCAAACGCACGTGGCGAAACTCGCGCGCCCAGGCCCCTCCAGTCCCGGAATGCCTGACCAGGTCTTGCCTTTTTTGTCTTGCATCTCTTCTTCTGAGGAGTCCTCGCCGCAAGCTGGTTTGGGGGTGTGTAGTAAGCTGAATCATGTCCAAATTGGTCAAACTCTACACCTCCAACCACATCCTCACTAGCCCACGCTGGCACCATACCCGGCCCCAACTACCCAACCCAAATCTCAGGTTAGGAGGATTATAGAATTGATATACTGGGTGCAAATCACGGACTTAGGCATCAAGTGGCATAAGGAATAGAGATGAATAGAGTAGGTATAAGTCCTATCCCATGTCATCCGAAGGTAGTACGATCTTCCCAGTCACCGGTCACTTGAATGTCCTGGTTGGTTCGGTCACTTACGGCTTGGGACTCCAGGTGGTTCGGTTGCAGATCAAGCCAGACCCCCCAAACCACCACCTAGGCCCTGGTAGGCAGTCCGTCCTGGCAGTCCCAGACGTGTCGTGTCTGGGGATAAGTTAGATTCATTTCATGTCATTTTGCCCCTCCACCCGTCATCACCCGTCCGAGTCATCGCTACCGGCGGTAACGTTCCCCTGCACCATGCCATTGAAGCTGCTGGTGGAATGCCGCGCGCGCGGTGGGGCAGTGGTCACCCGCTGCTGCGATGGCAAGCCTTGGTGATGTGGCCAGCGCAGGGAACATCATCGAACCATAAAGGAGGCAAAATGCACCAAAACCACTGGAGTGGATCCATGTATCTTGTTCATCTTGTTCTGTAACGTTTTTGTTTTGGGGGGGGTCAGGATTTGACGGGTCAAGACCTGACCATGTGTCCAACACCCAATGTCAGGACATGTTAGGGACGACTGGGAACCTGCCACCCCAGGATCGAGGCACTGGAGAAATCTGGAGAACTGAACCCCTGTCTTTGCATTTCGCCTCATTTCGCCCGCATGTCTGAGCCCCTGATTCCGCACGTTCCTTCCGTGCCACTCCCACTCATCCCACTCATCCCCAAACCCTCCGGTGCCAACGCTGCCCCCAACGCCCAGTGCCCGAGTTCCCGCACCGTCCAAGGTCACCGAGTTCCGGTTCCGATCTCCACGCATGCCCGTGTTCTTGGGCGTCGATGGCGGAGCCGCAAAGGTCGGAACCTGCCACCGGGAGGCTGCCGAGGTCGGTGGGAAGAGCTGAGGCATCCTGCTGGAGGTCCAGAACAGTTCCACCAGCTGTTCGAGCGAGATCCGCATCTGACGTACCGCTGGAGGTCTAATGTGTATTGCTGACACTCGGAGGTCTGACGTACCGCTGTATTGCCCTGCTCGGGCAGCTGGAACACAGCTGCTCTCTGGTGAGTGGGGTGTCCCCGTCCTCTCCCTGCCCCACAAAAACGGTTAAAGTGGATGCTAAGGGTTGTCCATTGAGACTGCAGTACAGTAGTAGGGTCCTGTGTGGAAGCTGGTGAAAAACCAACAAATGGACTTGGAGAACATGTCAAAGGATGGTGCCTTTTTGGCGAACCAAAGGCACGGAACAAACGCTTTTTGCAGTATACTCAGTCATTTGTCATACTATGTCATACTCAGTGTTCCTCCTTTAGGAGTTTTGGGATCGTTGAGATCTCTTCAAGCAGATTGGTTGGTTTAAGTTCAGGAACCGGAAGAAATCTGATGAAATGCCAGTTGATGATAGTTGACTCACTCAGGAACCGGGACAATCAACATCACCCCGATCCGTAGTCTTCTCACGCCTGGTTGGCCACCACGGTCCACCGGCGTCCGTTCTGCCGCCGCACCGGCTCGTTGGCGGCACTTTGTTCGAAGAATTTCCTCAGGCCCCGCGGCTCGCTGGGGCCAGTTGGGACTTGCTTCAATGTGACTGTCAGGGCTCCAAGCACACTCTCAGAAGGCAGAAAAAGACTGGCCACCCCAAACGCCGAAACGGAGGTAGGCCATGCATGGCCATGCTGTGTTAGGACCTTGTAAAGTATAATGCCTGGAAGCGGCCACGGAATTCATTTGTCCAAGGTGATCCATGAAAAATGGATTCCCATTGGGCATCTCTAAAACATGATTGCTCATCTCAGATTGTTTCTTACATCTGTCTTCAGAATTTTGATGCACATTCAATAAAAAAACAGAGATGATTCATGGACCATCGCCAATCAGCACCGAGACCCCCAAACGCGTATGGCGAGCCCGGAATCGAGGAGACAGAACCAAAACGACCGTTCCGGGTGCCATGACACAGCATGACCCATGCATGTTCACCGCTTTTTGTTTAATAAGCCTATAGGGATCCAGTCGTACCGAACCTCAGAAGGTACGACTGGACCCTCAAAACCTACTGTGTGTCTCCTTCTTCACCGTACCTGAGAAGGTACGACCGGATCCCTATAGGGAAGGAGACCCCCCTCACCGGTTTTGCGGCGCAGCGCACTGTCCCCGTCTAACGGGACGGTACCCAGCATGGTCTATGTCCCGAACCTATAGGGGGTCGTTGCCGTGGCCAGGCGAACGCCGAACCAAACCACTCTCCTTCGCCAAGGGGCACGAACTTGGACGCGTCCGGTAGCTTCATGCTCCTGACGTCCCACGGAAGACCCCCCATGGACCCTGAGAATGGGCTTTGATGGGTCTTCCATGTTCCGAACACCAACCCAGTGTTTTTGAGGGTTCCGTGTTACTCTGCGGGGGGGGGGGGGGTACCTGAACCTTCCAAATGTGCAAACGGTCTGAAATGTGGCACAGTTGGAAGATCGGACCCCTGCAACTGGGCTTGTTTCAACTGGGGACCTTTGCAACCAAATCAAGTCGGTGTCCTCTTATTGTGTGATGCATCAGCGCTCTTTTTTTACACTACAGTTGGTGCAGTATCTGAAATGGATCTTTTTCCATCAGTTCGTGGGGGAGAACTTGCCAAAGCAAGTTATGCTGATCTTCCAAATCAGCGCTTCTTCACATGTACATACATGTACAACCATTGAATAGTTCCTGGATGACTCTGATATGGTGGTCTTACACCCACTCACCGCCCAAAGCAACACCAACCAGAAAACATCGAACCATATCGAGACATTGCACATCGAGCATCGAACAAACCCGTCGATCCCCCTGAATGCATCACTTCAGAATCCCCCCACCCAGGCCCACCCATCCCCCTCAGTCAGGGCCCATGCACCCTCTACATCGAAGCCGATCCCTTTACCCTCCGCCCCCCCGGGCGGCGCCCAAGGGCACCTCGTGGGCGCCAAGGGCGTACTCGGCGCCACCAACTGGGCGGTGCCCATCGACCGCAGGCCTTCCTCCTTGGGGGGTGCCGACGTGGCATCCGTGATGTTTGGGCGGAGGCCGAGGCTCGGGACGTTTGGGGCAGGTGGATTGCATGTGGTCCTATAGTCATGTCTAGTCATTCCATGGCTTCTGGCGATTTAGAATGAACTCCTATAGATGCACCTGGGACAAGCAAAGAATGAGGCCGGCCCAGGGCATCGGCGTCATGATTTCCTCCGTAATGGATCCCAATGGTGGCATGTTATTTTATTCACGCCCCTCTACCAGCACCACCCAGTTTGGGTGGTGCTGGTACTGATTGAACTGTATAGTATGGGGATGTGGGGATGTATGGGGTGCTTCTGCCCACTGAGCTGCAAATGGGAAGCCTTTGAGGCATTTCAGGCAGGTCAATCGCAAGGACCGCGCATAGGCGTAGTCTAGACTCTAGACACCATGTCAAGGCCTGAAGCCAGGTGCATGCCCAACCGGTTTCCATCTTCAACTTTACACTTCACACTGAAAAATGGAACGGCTTGGGACTTTGTGTAGGGTGGGCCTCACTGTTCTTTCTTGCTCATCTTTCACCATGGGTTCACCATGGGTTCATCGTCTTCGTTTCGGCAGCCCCTCAGGGGTTGGGACTTGAGACTGATCAAAAACCCTCAGATTCCTCCAATGACTTTGGGTCCCCTGCTGACCACGAACCCCGATGGCCCACGTCGAGTCGGGTCTTCGGAACATGGTCGAAACCACCGGTCCATTCGAACAGGTTCCCTGGGATCGGTTGGTGGGAGAGTCTCCTCTCATCCCCTCACCGATCTGGATCCCCTCACATCCCCTCACCGACAGTTTCTGGGGGTGCCCAGCGCCGGTGGCCTCCTCCTCACGTTCCGCCTGGTGGAACCATGGCCGGTGGGACTGCGGGCAGTATAAGCCTAGTGACAAGAGAATCCATTTGCTAACGATAGCAAACGATTGAGGGAGTAGAATATGTCTTCCCAAAACAATTCCAGGGATAGTGGTGCTGTTGCTTGAGCAATAGCACTAACATGAACCCGCTCAAGGGAGATCAAAGGAGAAGCAACTGGAAATCCAAGATCAAAGGCAAGGTTGCGATTTCTTCAGCCAAATCGTTTTTCGCATCATTTGGACCCCTGAAACTGGACTGCATCGATTCCAGGTTGCCTCTGGACTGCCCCGTTCCAAAGGACAAAGCTCGGCCAACAATGGCAAAGAACAAGAAGCAACAGGACACCCAAAAGGAAATACAAGGAACTCAATCAATAGGAACCCAAGAGTCAGTACAAATGATCCTAATAAACGCAGAACAGGGAGGAATTATATAACTAAAAACATCGGCTCCGGGAGAAAGCGCCTTTGTCGTTCCGACCGCAAAATATAAGAAATAACATAAACTAACATCAAGGTTGGGAACAACTTGCGAAGCTTATAGTTCCAACTCAGTTTTGCAAATCAGGACCCCACATCAAAACATCTAAAGCTCCTGTGGATGTTCTCATGTTTTCTGAGTAGGCGCTTTGGCCCATGGATGTCGCCTGTTTTGCCCAAAAACCGTCGGTTTCGCCCATCGAATCGGACTTTCGGAAACCGTTTCAGTCTTCAGAGTCCTCTTAATCGAATTCATCGGCACTAACAAAGGTCTAAACAGTCATATCCAGGCAACCTGCTGAGATTCCACCATTGTTGCACTAAAGATTTCACACGTTAAAAGCAGGTACGTCAACCAATTTAATCTATAATTAAACGTGTTCGTTTGGAAGGCGAGGTCCTCCACGCCATGCCAACATCACCAGTCGAGGTCCTCGTCTACCTCCCCACCTCCAGTTGGCCAAACGTCGTCACCGCCGGCCTCGGGCGTCGGCCGGGCGTGGGTGTCCGGTCTACCAGCGACCGGACGGTGAGGATGGGGGACACTGAGGAAACAGAAACCTGGACCTCCAAAATGCTGAGACTGTGCTATCTTAGGGACCTGCGGGAGTCCGACCTGCGCGTGTTGACAGATGAAACGGTTTGTTTTACAAGCTGGAAGATCCAGGTAGGATGGCCTAGAATATGTGGGACGGCCCATCACTTGAATAGAGTGAGTCATATCATATCCCAGGACCTTCAAAAGTGACCTCTTTGGAGTCTCTGTTTGTGACCTCTTTAGGGACGATTCGTGACCTCATTCTAGGATCTCAAGGCTGGTCACTTTGAAGGTCCTGGTCCTTTTGACCTTTGAAGAGGCGAGTGGAAAAAACACAGGTCCATCTCCGTGGACGTCTCCCCGCTATGAAGCCCACCGAACCGACATGTTCTGAGAGTCACCGTAGTACGACATGTGAGGAAGCCAACACGATCGGTGCCAAACACATCAATCATATTCAATCAATCGTTCGAAGTCTGCATCCTATATAAATCATCCCTACCCCTTCCTGAGGGGGGACGTCGAAAATTGTAAGTTACATTTTCCTATCCGTAGGGCCTCAAAAAATGTAATTACATTAACTTTGAGGTGGCCTCAAAAAAGTAACTTACATTTTTGAGGCCTCATGGGTGATTTCCCGGGGAATGACCTCAAAAATGTAAGTTACATTTTTGAGGCACAGTGGAACGCTTACATTTTTAGACACCCCCTATCCTAGAAGTTGAAACTTGACACACTCCTTTTTGCGAACGACCACGCCCCGCATGGTCAACCCACACATGTCAGCTGTCAGTCAGCCATCAAGTTCGGTGGTACAAATTGCACCACCTGGCGCAGAAAGGTCATCAACTCCAGGTGTGCTGGATTCTTCCCATTCTTGGATTCTCCAGGAATGAATTTGGCAATGCGATAGTAGACAGCTTTGCTGTGCCCTTTGCGATCGGTGTTCTCGATCGTCTCAAAAAAAACTGCGCATTGCGAAACCAGGGGCTTCCAAACATGGTACTCTTTACCAACCTTGACCGCCCCTGAGGAATTCAAAAGCTTGATGCCTTTCTGCTCGTAGAGGCTTGGAATCTGGTGGAAGAACTGCCTCAAATTCGCCAAGCCCGTGTTGCCCTTCGAATCGGGAAGTCCAGGATGGAGAAGCCTATCTTGATGTCTGCAGGGGCAAGCTGCACCGCTGCCTGCTCACTCTCCTTTGCCTGTTTCGGCTGGAACACGGTTGAGGGATCCAGATGTCCTTCTTGAATCTGCTTCAGGAAATGCAAGGTGTTCTTGGAGAGGGAGAAATAGCATCGGCCATTGCGATCCCCAATTTGGTCGTAAGGTAACTCGCAGATGGCGTCCTGACTCGGATCAATGAGCTTGCTTCGTGATGCGCAGGAACCAGCATAGAACCCCTCAGTGTTTCCTGCCTCAGGATTTGCCAAGGCAGGAGAATTTGTGTGGACATCTCATGATATCACGATGCAATGCCATGGAAACGCCCAGGCTATACAATAAAACACTTCAGAGCATCTGTGTATAGTGTACATGAGGACATTGGATGTAAGTAGAAAATTGTAAGTTACATTTTTGGAGGCTATAGAAATATAGAAAATACAATAAAACATAATAATCCAAAATAAAATAGATAGAACAATCAAGCAAACACAAGCAAACTAATAATAAAAAACTGTATTCACAATATTTCGCAATCCAATACTATGCGAAGAACCTTGCTCGGAGGAATCCAATCGAGGAATAACACCATCAAACGCGAGACGGCTTCCGCTGGTGCATTAATGCCAAGGTTTTTGCTAACCTTCATCTTTCGACCGGCAGAAGCATCCTTGGTCAATGCGCCTCTGAAGACAGAGAACACCAGGACCACAGGGAAACTCACAAGTGAGCTCTCCACATTCTTCACAAGCAGCAACTGCGGCTTGGCGCAAATCGGCCGGAAGACGGTTGTAGGCAAGGCTGCCTCTTCTTGGGTGTCCTCCTCCGGCATACCAGCACATTGGGAGACAAGGCTTTGCTGGGCCGAAAACCAGTTGAACATTCTTCCATTGCGGGCCGCTGTGAAGCGATTGAACTGCCTGGCTTTGCAAAGCTGCGAAACGAGAACGTTGTAAAGGTTCTCCTTTTGTCGAACGCCTTGGACCTGCGTTTTGGACCTGAGATGTTTGACTCATGGGCTTCACCACAGAAGGAGAACATGCATGGATATCTCACAATATCTCATTGATATCACATGATATCACGATGTAACGCACAACCTCTGTAGCATCAGTGTGTGTGTGTGAGGGCATTCAACGTATCTTGAATATTGTAAGTTACATTTGTGGACACTTGGATACTGTGGGAAAACACTACAAAAACATACAAAAACCATAAAACATCATAAAACGATATCAAAAGATATCAAAAGATATCCAAAAATATATATCAAAAGATCTTTGAAGACTCTGCCCGTGACAAAATCTTTCCGCAACCCGGACTGTGTCCACAAAGCGCTTCAACGGCTGGAAGAGGTCTTTCAAGCGACTCAAGCATCCATCGGAGCCTGCAAATTTCACATTACCCTGGTCAAAGTGCTTGAGGTCTTTGACTGCTGTCATGATCTTGTCAAAGCTGTGACATTGGTCGGCAACAGGCTCTGGCGATTCATCCCTGGTCTGATCACCTTTCACCACAGGCAAGCCAGGAGGAGGACTATCACTGTCCATTGGATTGTTTGCCATGGCACGCTCCAACTCGCATACCACTTTGTGACGATCTTCCAGGGTTTGTAAGAGGTCCTCTGGCTCCTCGGGACATTCATCTTGCAACGGCTCACCGCTCTCCTCAAAGTCTTTGGGACCCTCACACTCCTGAAGATCGAGCTCATCCAGGCCATCGCCATCAAACAGTTCGTCCTGCAAAGTACAAAACCAACAAATCTATCATCTTCTATCAGCGTCACCCAACCATAGCAGCACAGGGCTGTAAAATGTTATGAAAAGGAAGAAAAATGTAAGTTGAACGTGTGTATTTATGGACAACATCGTCTTTTTTCATGGTCTCTGTCCTCCACTTCGTCATCAAGGTCCCATTCTGAATCTCCTCGCTTCTTGATCATGTTCTCCCCCATTCTTGACCACCAATCCCGAACATCCTTCTCAATCTCCCCGGTGCTCAAATCGATTGAAATCCAAGCCTCACCGAAATCTGCTTGGACGCAACGCAAAATAGCAAGCGTTACAGTAATTAAACTCATAGCCACCATTATCCACCATTGATACCCCTAGTGATGGGGGACAGTGGAAAATGGAAACATAAACGCACGTAACCCCTTCAACCTTCCTGTGTTGCGATTCAGTGTGTTTCATTTACTTGCTACAAACAACTGTTCAATGGTCTCAACAATTGTAACTTACATTTTTGTAGGTTTCACTTTCTTCATGATTGGCATTCTTTTACGTATGTTCTCATTTTACAACGTTATATATATAATTATATATATATTGAATTTTATTGATTTTTTTTTATAACATATGGTAGTTATGTCATGTTATGTCACGTCATGTTACGTCATGTTTATATTGTTGTGTTCCTTTCAACTGCCTGGAAAAGGATAGCGTTGTTCAAGCTCTCCGCCGCAATGGCTTTCAACTCCGCATCGTTGACTGCGGTGTCCTTGCGTCCTTCAAAGCCATCCCACATCTCAGCATCTCTGTATTGTTTGGCGTGGGTCATGTAGGAACCATAGAGACCATCCTTTATCGTGCACGTTCCACGATTGTAGGATTTGATCATAGAGAAATATTTCTCTATGCAGGACTCTTCGCGGCATCTTGGTTCCCACGACATGTCCAGGGGCCAGTATCGGGCCGACAGGACAAAGTGGCCAACCAAATCCATGAGCGCCCTCACATTTTGGACTGGAAGAAACGACTTGGCCCAACCTTTTTTCTGCCCTTTCATGGCCCGTGAGGCTTGGATGCAAAGCAAGTAGTATCCCATCAGGGCATTGCCCAAAGCTTCCCGCAGAGTGAAGGAACTTGATGCCACCCAGGCGCTCTGAATGAGTGCGGCCACGAACATGGGTATGATGCAGGGTTGACACGATCAGTTATCCAGACAATAGCCAGCGTTCAAACGCCTGGATGAATCTGCATCTGACTGTGGGTCGTCGCCAGCCAGGGCGCGGATCGGTAGCCCGGCTGCTACCATTCCTGTCAGGTTCACTGTGAAAGCCCCCCAGCGAATCGTCCTCGACCCGCTGCATAGATGGATCCCAAATCTCTTGAAGCAGTGACGGCTGTCATTGTTGCCACTAACGAAGAAATCCTGATGGAACAAAGCCCGGTAGCACCACATTGGGATTTTCAAGGGTTGCTGTTTGGTGCATTGGTTGAAGAACGGAACTTCCATTCCTGAGCCCGGAAGCAATCCCAGGAATGCGCTGTTGATCTGACTGTTTGGTGTTCCAGAATCCCACGCCCCTCCAATTGGAGGAATGCCTGAGTTGCACGATGTCGCCACTCTCAGCAGCCAGCCGTACTCATAGAAGGTTTGTCGTGCGCCACCCACCACTTCATCGGATCCCTTCACTTTCGGTTTCCTGGGTATCATGTCGACCTGGTAGATCTGTTTGTTGCTGTCTGCCCTGCTGAAAACGAAATGGACCGTCAGCCTGGACAACTTTTCAACAGGCAGCTCCGAAGCCGGTGATGGTACAAAGGAGCAATCTTCATCCGGAGCCTTGAAGCCACCAATGTATCCCATAGGATATCCCTCCCTCAGGCCAACGATCACATCCCAACGAGGGTGAAAGACGGTTTCATCGAGCACGACGATGAAGTTCCTGGTGCCCTGCACATTGAGCGCAGCCATTGCACTTCTGCATGACTGCTCCATTGTTGCAAAATCACGGCTGGCGACAAAGGACTGTGGCAAGTATGAGATCTGCAAGT